AAATATTAGCTATTATTATTTGGTATGGCTCTGTGCTTTCAATGGTATACAGAACTGCTGACAAATAAACTTCCTCTACCAATGCCAAATGGTAACTACTCCACAATTTATAGAGTTGCCAGGGGTAGTAAGAGGTTAAGTGACTCATCTAGGACCACACAGCCAATTTGTGTCAGAGGTGGGACCTGAATAGTGACCTTCCTAACTCCAAGGGGAACCACCTAGTCAGCATACCATTATGCTGCTCAAAGATTATTTAGAAGGTTTAATACTAAAGGACACTTCAAAAATCTAGAGAAATTTAACTTCTACTTGAGATACTAATTTTATTTCCAGAGGGTAAAGAGACAGCACAATATTGCTACTTTATTTAAAGTGGCAGAAAAAGGAATCTATGATACTTTAAAATATCCCATACAACTTCTCTGAGAGACTACTTGGTAAGCAAATGTACATGGTTATATGAAAGTCAAGAAACTTCAATTTTATTTAATCCCAGTAGATCCCTACTATTCAAGAACTTAAAAAAATATTCAGTCATGTAAAAGAATTACATTTCTGAGTAAAAAAATATACTTTGTTAACCATGAATAACAGGTACAATTTCTATTTACTGGTTCTATATGTATACTTTTGTTGGAAGTTTAAATAAAAACAATTTTCTTTGAAAAAGTAATATAGAGTTCACCAACAGGGGCATATTTATGGAACAAAAATTTGTGGAAGAGTTAAACCAGTCAAAATTATAATGGATATTATCCCTAATGACTGGAAAAAATGTTTTAGAAAATAGGTTACTCAAGTCCCAATGCAGTATTTGTAAGTAAATCTTTTGTGCTCTAAGGCATAAACAGCACTGATCCAAAATGCATTGTAAAACTAAATTTGTAACAAATCTTATAAATTTGGTAACATTTTAAAAATTACAAATGAGATCATGGAATCTCTGTAAACCTGTGACTAGAGAACAGATCTATTACCCCCAACCCCCAGGTTTTTCCTTTCCTTGTACAGAGTTAAATTGCCTGCTCTCTGCCTCATTCCTCACTCATTATTAAGCAATTTAGAAAATACTCTCATTTTACAGGTACTGACTATCCTACTATCTTGAACATGGCTTGATTGTGCATAGCTGTTTGCATACATCTCCCCATTAGACTGTGAGCTCCTCAAGGACAAGGACTGTCCTTTACCTTTCTTTGTATCCCCAGTAGTAGTTTGGTATATAATATAGCAGGTACTTAGCAAATGCATATTGACTAAGGATTATGGGGCACTCTTAGTGCCACACTGGTTCTTTGTTAAAACTCTCTATATATCTGAGCCCCAGCGAGGGGCTCTGGGCCATCTGATTGGAGTACAAATACCTTTGCACAGTTGTATATTTAGAACCACCCCACTGTGTGCTGCCGTACAAGCAATGGAGCCAAACACTGAGTTGTTCCCCACTGGCATCCATCCTCTTCCTCCTCTTCCGAGTAGTGTTAAAGTTTTCAGAGCTACTCCTGTGCGGTGTTGCCTCTCTTTATCTGAATTCTGCTGCACTACAATTTCCTTTGCCAACTGACAGTGGGATTTGAGAAACTCAAAAAGTTTACCAAAGTTTGCTTTTGGTAATCATCAGCTGGTTTTCAATTATATATTACCAAAAATGTCAGTTAAATTTTGCAGGGGAAAGTCATGTTTCAAGAGACAGTTTAATTTGCTATCAACTTTCAAGGCAAAAATGAACTTGATTTTAGTGTGGGAGGTAGTGTGTTATGATGAATAAAGTGTTGGCCTTGGACTGAGAAAGACCTGGGTCAAATTCCATTAGTGTTTATGTTATAGTTGGGTAACCATGGGGAAGTTCCTTAACCTCACTGAAACATGTTTATTAATCAGTAAGATACTGTTTTACCTACAACTGACAAAGTTGTTGAGGTAGATATTACAAGCATTTCCTCTGAAAACTATGTCACTATATAAATGTTAGTTTTTATTTTAAGTGCTTAATATAAATGCTTGTTATATTGAAGGAAAAACCATAATCATTTTAAATAATTAAAAATGTAAAAATACGGACGGGACTTGAGTTTAAACAGCTTTTCTTCACAAATAAATTCACTTAGTTTCAAGATTTCAACATAGTAAAGAAAATGCATTCACCATGTCAAGTATTAACATGCTAAAAAAAAGAATAAAAAAATTAAAATAATCAGGCAGGCCTGTGCAAATAGCATTTCTATTAAAATTCTACCCATACTTCAAGGGCCAGCTCAAATGTCTCAAATGCTTAAAAGGGTTTTGCCTCATCACCCAACCAGAAGTAATCTTCCCTCCTTTAAACTTTGTATCACTACATATCACCCAATGCCTTGTATTGTGGTTATTTTTGCTGTCTTATCTCCTTTACCAGATGATATGTTTCTTGAGGACTGGATTGTATCTCTTATTCCACACAGCACCTACAGCAATTCCTTTCACAAAGTAAGTACTCCAATTTTTATTTAACAAATGGCAATCAATTGTTCTCATTAGATTGTGAACTTCTTGAGGGCAAGGAATGTTTTTTGTTTTTTTTTGGCCTCTTTTTGTATCCCTAGCACTTAAGCACATTGTCTGGCAGATAGTAAGCACTTAATAAATGTTTGATTGATAGATTGTTTCTAACTCCTCCCAGAAGACCAAATTCTTTCTATTATTAAAGAAAATGATATGGGAATAAGGGCTAAGTGTAAATATCATGCTCTTTTGCTCGTAGGGAAAAATGTGAGTACATGGATGGGCTTTAAGAGAACATGTTTTCTGTTTATTTACTATCAATTACTATCACATCAGTAAGGAGTAACTAAATTGGACCTTTTTGGAATTCACCAATACTTTATGGTCCCTAGAATACTACTAAATGTGAATGAGTAGAAAACCATTAAATAATGATCTGGCAGCTTAAAAGAACTGATATACCACCCACCATAAAAAGGTAGACTGTCCATGTGGACAGGAATGAAGCTGTATACCACTGAGAAACCTATGTAAGATATGAAGCCAAAAATGCCTTTAGTTATTTTCTGCTGTATGCTCAGAAAAAAATTTGATATAAACAGTTGAAAGTCTTAATAATTATTAAAGCTTAAGGTGCCCTACACAATATAGAAGCAATTTCCTAATACTGAACCTACACACCAGTCTGAACTTAATTTCTGTATTGTACTTAACTTCATTATAGTAAATGTGTTCATTAACATTTACTTACTATTTCTTTCCTTTTAATATTAAGTTTTCACGAAGGACTCCTTTCACAGTTTAATCTATATATCATATCTAACTTATTTCAGGTGTTGAAAACTTGACAATATGTGAGGAATATTCCTCAATAATTCTCAAAGTATCTTAATATATATTATATATATATATGTCATGAGGCATTTCATGTATAGGAAAATTATTATTAGGATGTCACTATTTTAAAATATGTTTAAATTTTATTTCTCCCACTACCATCACACTCATTCAATAAATATAACAATAACTCATAAGTTCTATAAGACTAAAATTTGAAGTGCAGAACAAAATTGAAACAAGTTTTATTTAAGAAGGGAAAAACAAACCCTTCTTCCAAACTGAAAACACTGTAAAATGCGAAACAGAAATCTAAATAAAATATCTATATTATCACCAAGCTGTAACAAGCTGCTATAACAATATAATGAAACTGTGGGTACTGTGGAATATAATTCAAATAGAATGTAAAAAGTAAAACTTCTAGGTATAAATAGAAATATCAATTACTGAACTCATAAGTTAAGCATATGCAAATGTTCATACATCAACACATAATGTTCTTCCAGAAATAAATGAAAGAATTCTTAAGGTCTTTTGCTGACACATGATTTTTTCATTTCTAAGAGGTTAGGGGCTTTAAAAAAAAAAAAAAGGATATTTCTAAAATTCTCTTAAATGAATAAGAGGAATGCCTTTTCTAGAAGTTGTTACTCAAACCCACTTCATTTACAGTAACTATAATCTCTGCTATTTTCTCTGAATTTTAATCATCAACCATAACCTTCATAAAATCTCTAAGGAAACATGGTTTTAAATACGCAATCTGTAATAGCAAATATGACAGTGGTGCCAGGGAGAAAAAAATTTTAAGTGCTTCAATCAAAAACAATAACAAATGTCAAGAATACTTAGAAAAATCAGTGTTTGACATTCCAAACCATTCATATAATCAAGATGGCAGAGAAATTCTGTGTCAACACCAACAAAGGCTTAAATTTCAAAGTGCCAAAAAATGGGGCAATGATTTAAAATACATACAGAAGATAAAATATTTCCCCATGATTTACTGAGGGAAAAATGGAAAAAAAATGGGAAAAGAAATTTCAAAATTCTGCTAAGGATATTGTGAAAGATATTTAGCATCTCTCTTTGCTTTAATATTGCTCACTGTCAGGTAATTTTTTGCTATGCCCTTTGCTTTGGCCTTAATAAGAATGGCTATTTGCTAACCTGAATCAAATCATTCTAGCCAAAACAAAGATGTCATAATTACTATGTCCATGTGTGATGAGAATCACTGAAGATTTCAGTAAAACAAATGAAGAAAAACAACACTAAGTTAAATAGGACTAGCCATAAAACTGAGTCCAGTCTATAATCAAGAAAAAACCCTTTTACTCAAATTTTAATCTAAATGGTAAGTTATGTTAATATAAGTTATGTTAATATTAAAAAGGACATTTTTTTTCCCTCTATGTGTCTTATATTAACTATGGCCAAATAACTAGCCCTTCCCAATATGAGTTCTGTAACAGTGACATTTTGAAAATTTATGTTCTCAACAAAATGATATAAATCCTGAAAGCTTTACCCAGATATATGGATCCAATTAAGGGCTTCTGAGAAAGAAAATAACTTGATGTATTTAAAAATTATCAATAATAGTCTTAAGACAATCCTTTAAATAATTTCATTTTTTTAAATGTGGAAACGTATAAAAGAAGTGCCACTCAATGTCAAATGAAGAAACAAATTTATTCCAGTTTTATTCAATTAAAAAAACTGCCAACATACACTGTATTATCATTCACTATGATCTTCAAACATTAAAATTATCCTTTTTTATTTTGTAAGATGGTGATTCTAGAGCAAGATCATGAATTACAAGGGCCCAGTCATAAGTCATTACCTCCACCTTTAGTTTCTGCAAGTCAGTGCATCCAGTGGTCATAAACAGACGTGACATCGCATCTAAAGACCTTTTTAAAGTGGCTTAAAATATTTAGCTTAAGTCCTTTATCAACATAAAATAGTCAGTATTTAGAAAACTTCAACAATACCTCAAAGTATGCTACCATAAGCTAAATGTCAATCAGTTGCATTTTTCTCTCCTAAAGGAATATGTTCCCATAATTGTAAAAGTTGTTCTCCAACCTGGGGCTCCAATTCCTGTGTGAAAAATAAAAAAAAAATAAAAGAAAGTAACATTTCTCTCATGGACTAGATGTCAAAATAAGTGAAGGACTTATAAAAATTAAGAAACTTTCAATTTCAAATACTTAAATATCTACTATGTAAAGAACACTGTACTAGGTGCTGGAAGAACACAAATGTTTAAATGACTCATAGTTTCTTAAAGTCTTAGGGAGTTTATAATCTCAAACTGGAGGAAGAGATTTAACCAAATGTAAATAAATACAATACAAAATATGTAAAATATATGAAAGGAGGTCCGGGGAAAAAGATGAGATGGCTTCAGAAAAAAGCAGGGAACTTGACTAGGATTTTAAAGGATAGGCAGAATTTCAACAAAGATCCGGGGAGAAGGGGAAGGGGATGGAATTCCAGGCATAGGCAACAGAAAGAGTAAAAAGTATTGAGGTGGAAAGCAAAGGGTATGTGGTAGAATGACACATAATTCAGTTTGCCTAGACCAATGAGTACATGAAAAGAGAGTAGTATAAGATAAAGCTAGAGAGGTTGGGTGACCAGATTATGTATAACAGTCTCAAACGTGTTGACTCCACAAGACGTGAGTAGTGACTTGATTTATTACAAGAAAAAGGCACATGTATGTGGGAACTCCCTATACCAAGTACAAAGGAGCCCACAACATAGGCAAAGCCTTGAGTATTTTTATATGTTACAGTGACAGTGGGAAATTGCAGGAGGAGGAGGGAGAATGGGGTAAATGCCTTAGAATCGAGTCATGAGAAAAGTAAAGCATGGCTGGGGCCCATCCTGGAAAATGCTAAACCAAGAAGGTAGGATAGTCTCACTTATGGGGACCGGGGGGATCAACGGGGGATGGGAGGGAGGGGGTGAAGGGGGGAGGGGGACGGAAGGAAACAGAAGAGAATCCCAGCTGTACAAATGGTTTATTAGTCTAAGTTAGGCTGGCCAAAGCCAGGCTTGTAGCTGACTCAGCTTGAAGGGCACTGAGAGTTTAATAGTGTTAAGGTGCAAAAGATCACTGTCATGTTAATTCACGTGGGTTTCATCTCTGGAAAATAGGGCAACTCAAGAAAACAAGTTCAGGGCACCCTTCACAAATGCTAAGATAAAGAATTTGGAGATGATATCCATAAGAATACTTACTCCACAGGGTTGTTGTGAGGACATTGTATACATTTAAAGTATGAAAAGGGTTTTGTAAACCTTAAAGCACTATATAAACATCAGCTATATACTACTCATGTTTTGAAAATCTGATAGGTATTATATGATAGTTTCTGTTCAAAATTGAAGATTCAAGAGGCTAACTTTCACTACTAAGACTGCAGAGTGGCCCTACAAACCTACCATTTTAACTGAAAAGGAAAAAAGATTTCTTAAGAGCTAAAAACAACATAATAGGAGGTTCAGTGAAGCCAAAGTTTGGTCCTGTCATGTTAGGTTGTATATCAAGTATGTCTTTATGAACTATAATATTTAACTTAAGACATTTTTACTTGTGTCTGGGGAAAAAAAAAGATTTTTCACAAAAGAATTATTTTTAAAATAATATTACTGCGTAAAGATCTGAATATCTTCAAATTGGTGAAAAGTAAGATTTCATATTATGAGCTGCCAGGAGTTTACTTAGTTCATAGATGGCCTCTGATACTCCTTTCAGCTCCAGATTTTACATAAAGAGAAATTGTTTTTTTCTCTCTTTAATATTTAAATCAAAAGACAGTTTTTACCTTGCAAACCTTTAAAATCTAATCCCAAGTAGAGAACATTGTATGCAAAAGATGGGCTCATTAGTCCTTTTTCTAAAAAGCAAACAAATCTAGAAGATATCCATTTCCAGAGGAAACCATTCTATTGATTTAAAAGTTATTATTAGACAAATACATAAGCTTTCAAATCTTATTTTTTGATTCCTTAGAAAAAAATAGTATCCTATAACCTGAGGAAAAAACATTTTCTGGAACTTCAACAAAAAGAAAAAATTAAAAACATAAAACATTATTTTATCCTAATGATTAAATTATGCAAAAGATAAATGGCTATTCCTATCTTTAAGAATTTGGCCAAAGGCTCATGCTTAGTCTCTAGAGTATCTCCTTGACAATATATATTCAAAGAAATCAGGAAGGCAAAAAAAAAATGTAGTGACTATTGAAAGATTTTATAATTTAACAAAATAAGAAAGTTAAATTTGAAAAACTTCTGATAAGTAGTAATGAGTTTTGTGAAATTAACATAAGTCAATGGTATTTAACCTAATTCTCAGTTTTCCCATCTGCAAAATGTGAATAATGATGCTTATAATAACCATCTCAAAAGTTCTTAGGACCCAATCAACTCTTTCCTATGTAAATGGGCAACATGATTTTATTCTAATCAATAATTTTCAAAACAAAATACTGGACAATAGAAGATGAAAAAATGTTTTTCTATAATACCAAAAAGCAACATATTTAACATACCTGTCCATCTCTGCTTATTTGTACTTTCTTATTGTCATTCCAAGGATTAAGTAAGTGATGTGCAAACTGAAAAGGAAGACTTTCTTTCCGTATCCATTCCACCTTGAACACTCCTCCCAGACCTGCTGAACCCCAGTCCTGACTCTTTTCCCGTCCTATCTCTGAAGACATCCTAGAAAATCCCTGTAATGAAATTTAGAGGAAAAAATACTTGAGATTTTCCAAATGTCTGCTTTAATAATATTTTAAAATGTAATTTTAGCATGTAACACAAACTACAAGAAAAATCTACAAAAATACATTAAGATATTAATTTGTTAACATGTCTACTTTTTTTTTTTTTTTTTGAGAAACATACCAAGCATTATCAGTCTTCTGGTAATAACTTTAAACACCTACTTTTTTAAAAGATCAGATCTACGGTTTTGGCAAATTATATCAGCACCTGTTCTGTAACTCACAGCCTTAATCAGTTGTATAGGTCACTGAGAGGTTAAGTGTCTTGTCCAGGGTCACACAAGTAGTATGAATATATGAGAAGTGAGACAGAAACTCAGGTCTTCTTGACTTTGGAACAGACAGAACACTATCCCCTATATGGCAGTGTGCCTTATACGGCAATAAACATTAAGTACTTTGTTATCTATGTAAGAAGGGGGTGTGTGTGTGTGTGTGTGTGTGTGTGTGTGTGGCACACACACACATATATAACAGCAAAGTTAACAGATAGTATTCAAATAATGCAATTTTGTCTATATCCATTCCACATTAATCTTTACTACTGAACCTCTTACCCTTTATTTCTAAAAATCTACTTACATAAGAATTTCATTACTTTATAAATTTCAATGTTTTAAGGAATGAATGTCCTCTTCCCTTGGAGAAAATTACTTCTTTCTGTTATTTTCTATAACAGGCAGCATGGTGACATAGATAGAGAGCTGGGCTCAGGAAATAAGGAAGACAGATTTTAAGTTCCACCTCTGACACATACTGGCTCTATAAACCTGGAGAAGCCATTTAATCTCTGAGTACTCTAAGCAACCCAATAAGATTTATGTTGCAGAAAATATGCTTCTCTACAATGGTAAAGGAATTTCTTTACCAAGGAATTCCATGATACCAATGAAACTACATATTCCGTTTCTATATATACATGAAGTAATTTTTTATATCACAGGAAACAGGAACTTAATGGGTGATCTAATGAAGGACATAAATTTTTCAAGAGTTGATGATTAATTTGTTCATGCAATCACCATCAAGGCAAAACTGCTACTAGCTAGACTAAGCCCAGGCACTAGCTTAGAATTGAGGAGGTCTAGCTTTACTGAAGCATGGAACCAGCTTTAACAATCCACTAGTGAATGTGTTTTATGCAAACTAAGCATGTCACTCACACACACACACACACACACACACACACACACACACACACACACACGTAAGTCAGAGAGTCACAGTATAATTCCAGGCTCCCAGAAACATACAGTCATTCTCCTTGACCTCCTAACCTCTTTCAGAAATAAGAGGAGATGTCTGTAAGGCCAATACAGTATGGCCTGAAGTCCCAGGGTCTAGGTGGTAAAGGGAACTCCAGAGGCCCAAGGGAAAAAAAATCCAAAAAAGCCAAATTGATTAAAAAGCAGAAATGTAGCCCAGTCTTGAGAGGGGATGATCATGAAAGAAGCACTGCTGGGATGAAGCAAAGAGCTATATATTCTTTTAAAGTGGTGTAGTAAATTTGATATTACATTCTAATTATGGGTCCTTTATGCTTCCCATGTGACTATAAACTAAGGTACTGTTTGGTCTTGAAAGTACCTTGGAATTTTCAAGAGATTAGGCTCACAGCATCACACTGCTCTTTAGCTGAAACAGCACTTAAGTCCTGTAGTTGTAGAGTTTGATATACACCAAAGGGACAGGAATTAAAAAAAAAATTAACTGGATTATCACATTTGAGAATTTCACTGGAATCTTTACCACTTTCTTTTCCTCATGCTAAATTCTCTCCCCATCAGTATGGCAGGTAGGTAGCACAATGGATAGTGTTGGACTTGGAATCTGGAAGATCTGGGTTCAAATCTTGCCTCAGATACTTAACTATGAAAACCTTTTAACTTCTGTCTGCTTCAGTTTTCTTATATATAAAATGAGGATAATAATAGCATCTACCTTGTTGTAAGGATCAACTAAGTTAATATTTACTTTGCAAACCTTAAAGCCTACATAAATGTTAGCTATTATTATTATCATTAGTCTTGTTTATTTTCTCAGAAATGAAGATTAATATAATGGGAGGCACTATAACAGAGTAAGTATTGGACTAGAATTAGAGGTTCAAGTTCTGGTTTTCACACTTTGTAGCTATGTAATTGCACAAATCACTAAATCTAACCCTCAATTTCCCTATCTATAAAATGGGAATGATGCTTACAATAACTACTAAGAAGATGTTATTATTATCTACAGAGTAGTATGTTAGTTGACTGGAATAAAAAGAAATTAGACACTTTTTTTAAAAAAAGGAATTTAGGTAAGTGAAAAGGACAGAGAGGTCAATGTAAAGCAGTGATAAAATTAATTGGGGGAGAGGACAGGGGAAAGCCTGGGAGGGCAAGAATAAAGGGTATTTCAAAGAGCAGAGATATGCCCATGGCATAATCTGTAGTCATAAGCAAAAACAAAAACAAAAACAAAAACAAAACATTTAGTTGTATCAGGATGACTTACCTGGAAATGTCCAGATCCTTGAACAGAAAACACCAAATAAACCACGCTGCTCTCCCAAAAGGCTCTATTTAATTTCCGTTCATTGCTAGGGGTTGTAGACCATATTCCCTTCTGTTGAGAAATCTCAAGATTTCTCAGATTGCTACTCTTCATTATGAAGTATCGAACTGGCATATTTGGTCTTGGTGAAGGGGATTTTGAGCCCTGCAAAAGAGTATCCAAGTTCTTGAAATGTAACATAAAATACAAAGAGACTCATATATATATATATATATAAGTGCTATAAAAAGGCAAATCAAAATAATCTAACAGAACACTTTCCAAAATGTGTTCTGTAGAATCCTAGTTTTTCCATGAGAATATACTATTAGTGTATTTCCCTCCAAAATGTTATATATAAAATTATGTATTTATCCAAAATAATTAATACTTAATATAATTTTTTAGTATTAAAACAGGTTTAATTTCCTATTCTAATCCCACTTAATTCTGGGTAAATTCTATTACCTCAAATCTCCCTAATCCCATTTATGGGCTCCTGTAAAGAATAAAACCCCAAAGTATTACAAAACCAAATTCATTTGGAGAAACTAACCTAACAAGTATTTAAAAGTCAAATAATTCTAATGTGATGAAAATTATCCACAAAGTATGGTTAGTAGAAGTAGTGTGCATATTTTGGTGCCTTCAAAAGATCTATTATAGAAAAAAGGAATCTATTAAGATTAAAGGATCTATTTGCTATTCATTAAAACACAATTTTTTTTCTAAAGGCAATTGGGGTTAAGTGACTTGCCCAGGGTCACACAGCTAGTAAGTGTCAAGTGTTTGGTCTGAGGCCACATTTGAACTCAGGTCCTCCTGACTTCAGTGCCGGTGCTCTATCCACTGCGCCACCTAGCTGCCCCTAAAATACAATTTCTTAAGAATAAAAATATAAATTCTTTTTTCATTATTTAATTCTTTGAAATGTAAATGTATACGAAATGATAAAATTTGGGTAGTCTTTAATTCACTATTTACAATGTAATATATTTATATGTACATATATGTGTGTATAACACACACATACACTCTTGTGTCTCAAGAAATTATCAAAGATATGAGGCTAACATGTAAGTATTGGAAATCACTCATAAATAACTCCTTAAAAAATTCCACTTTCAAACCCATTCCTACAGAATCTCGCACACAGCAGGCACTTAATAAGTGTGTTTAATTATGTGTGCTGAATTTCCTTCAGTCAAGTTTTTAAGTATAATAAAAGAATCAGCTCAAACATTAAATATGATTTTCAAACTGTCCTTTGAAGTAATTATAAGCTATGTCACAAGAACTAAGACACTCATTTTTTGACCCAAAGGTAATTGTTTATGAATGGATAAAACAGAAAATACATACAAAATTGTCTAATTGCATGGTCGTAATGACCTTGTAAGCTTGTAAATACAACATTAAAATCACAGCTAAAAATCTGGTCATATTCACCTATTTTAAGTTTACAGAAATAGATACTCTACCTTTCCTGAGGATGGAGGAGAAGGACTAGCACAAGGACTAGGGTAACTACTACTATCTGTAGATTTCACAGAAGACTGGTCAGATCGATCATCAGAACTTCGTTTAGGATGTAAAATACCTCTATCTTTGTATTTTTGGGGTGGGTGGAATGCTGGAGATGGAGACTTCATCAAGACTCTTGAGAAGGATAGTAAAGACAACTTGGTAAGCAACTTCATAAAAACAAAGTTAATTTAATTTCAATAAAAACTTTTAGAAATGTGCTATAAGGGTTTTAAGATTATATTTTATGGAACAGTAATTTATAGAGAAATTGCATGTCCTATATCAATATTTGGAGGTCAAAAATATAAATTTAGATTATATATGTACTTTCATGTAAAAAGTTAATCAACTTTCCAAGAGCTAAAAAAATTTCAACAGTAAACCCTACATACAGTCATATTTAAAAATTCCTAACTGCTTTTTAGGAATCAATAGTGATGTCAATCACTTATAAATTTTAAAATTATTATTTTTAACAGATTTGTGATTTCATTGCCTCTCAGTGAAGACACTCCCTTTATCAATGTGGAATGGCAATTGGTCTACAATTAATTTAGAGTCTTACTTGCTTGGGACCACTGAGAGGTTGTGATTTGCCAGGCTGACATGGCCAGTATATGACAAAGGCAGTACTTGAACCCAGGTATTTTGACCACACCATGAGGCTTCTCATGAAATTTTTACATATGTGTTTTATACTGAAGTATCCTTTAAACTTAGGTGGTTCAGATATGCATAGCATACATAACATCATGCTAACAGTCTTTTCTAAAAAAGTAATTTAAAAGACCTAAGGGCTATGTACAACAGACAAAATAAATATACTCTGCAGCACAACAGAATGGATAGAATACTAAACTAGTCAGGAAACTTGGGTTCTAGTTCCAGTTCTGTTACTAACTAGCTTCCTTTGGCCTCAATTTTTTCATATGTAAAATGAGGAGATAATCTTTAGATCCTATCCAGCTCTACCATTCCATAATTCTCCATGTACAGTGAACAAGATATTTTATAACATCTTAACATTTTCTATCTTCAACATTTTGCAAACTTTACAAAATTCTTAAAAATTACATTGACTGATTTCAAGACAAGCTAAACTAGTGTACCTAAATAAAGGTTCTTCTTTCAGTAAATCTCATTGATCTAAAATTATTTCTAGGATGCTACTATGAAACATCATGGCAAATATGCAAATGGAGACACAAAAGAAATTAACAACGAAAACCAGGAAAGGGGCATAAAAGTTCTTTAGCACTTTTTTCACTTTCATTTTTTTCAATTACTTTTGGTATAATAAACAATCTAGTTGTGAAACTTGGAAAATTTCACCATGTTTAAAAACTGTCTAGTAGACCTTAGGTTTAGATGAAGAACTAAACAAGGTTGAAGCTAAATAAAATCGAAATAATGGTGCTGATAATATCAGGACACAGTGAGGAGGTTTAGCTATTTTCTCTTACATGAAAAGAAGTGCTTGTGTCCTTTACCACCAAGATTCTAGCGAGTTCTAGATGGCTAGCATTCAGTTTTAGATCATTGGCTGAGTTGATAATTTCATTAGCTACATAAAATTTTCATTATCTTGTTAACCCTTGCTATACCTTCTGATAATTCTTCAATGGGATCACCTCAGTAGTTATCCATGCCTTTGTAATCTCAATACTGGATTACCGAAATAAAAGCAGATGCCTTTGAAAACAACAGAAACTTCAGAAGAATATGGTTTTACTTCTAAGTAGTACAAACCGTAAGCTACTCACAGCTCACTGATTCCTGAGTATATACCAATATTGCCTTTGAAACAAAATTTCTGAATAATTTTAACATTGTTAATAGAAACTCATATTCATCGTTATTTTTTCTCTTTAGTATTAAACATTTATTAATTTATTTTTAGTTTTCAACATTCACTTCCACAAGATTTTGAGTTCCAAATTTTCTCCCCATCTCACCCCGCCCCACATGCCAAGGCAGTATACATTCGAATACCCTTCCCCTTAATCTGCCCTCCCTTCTATCACACCTCCCCTTCCCTTATCCCCTTCCTCTTTTATTTTTCTGTAGGGCAGGATGGATTTCTACATTCCATTGCCTGTATATTTTATTTCCCAGTTGCATGTGAAAACAATTTTTAACATTTGTTTTTTAAAACTTTGGGTTCCAAATTTTCTCTCTTCCTCCCTCCCTCCCTCTCCACCGTCATTGAGAAGGCAAGCAACTTGATTTAGGTTAGACGTGTGTAGTCATGTAAAACATTTCCATGGTAGTTATGTTTTGAAAAACTAACTTTATCCCGCCCCCCTCCCCGCCTATTTATTTTATTCTTTCTTTTAACCCTGTCCCTCCTCAGAAGTGTTTGCTTTTGATTACCCCCTCCCCCAATCTGCCCTCCTTTCTATCATCTCCCTGATCTCTTATCCCCTTTCCCCCCATTTTCCTGTAGGGTAAGACAGATTTCTATACTCAATTGAGTGTGTATGTTATTCCCTCCTTAAGCCAAATCCTATGAGAATAAGATTCACTCATTCCCTCTCACCATTCCCCACTTCCCCTCACTCTAAAAGCTTTTTCTTGTCTGTTTTATGTGAGATAATTTACCCCATTCTACCTCTCCCTTTCTCCTTCTCCCAGTATAATCCTCTATCACCCCTTAATTTTATTTTTTGGGTATCATCCCTTCATCTTCAACTTGCCCTGTGCCCTCTATCCATCTATCTACCTATAGAATTATTCCCCCCCTCCAACTACCCTAATACTGACAAAGGTCTCATGAGTTACAAAGATCATCTTTCCACGTGGGAATATAAACAGTTCAACTTTAGTAAGTCCCTTATAATTTCTCTTTCCTGTTTACCTTTTCATGCTTCTCTTGAGTCTTGTATTTGAAAGTCAAATTTTTATTCAGCTCTGGTCTTTTCATCAAGAATGCTTGATAGTCCTCTATTTCACTGAATATCCACTTTTTCCCCTGAAGGATTATACTCAGTTTTGCTGGGTAGGTGATTCTTGGCTGTAATCCTATCTCCTTTGCCATCCAGAATATTATTTTCCAAGCCCTCCAATCCCTTAATGTAGAAGCTGCTAAATCTTGTGTTACCCTGATTGTGTTTCCATAACAGTTGAATTGTTTCTTTCTGGCTACTTGCAATATTTTCTCCTTGACCTCGGAACTCTGGAATTTGGCTACAATATTCCTAGGAATTTTCCTTTGGGGATCACTTTCAGGAAGTGATCAGTAGATTCTTTCCATTTCTATTTTACCCTCTGGTTCTAGAATATCAGGGTAGTTTTCCTTGAGAATTTCTTGAAAGATGATGTCTAGGCTCTTTTTTTGATCATGGCTTTCAGATAGTCCAATAATTTTAAAATTCTCTCTCCTGGATCTATTTTCCAGGTCAGTTGTTTTTCCAATGAGATATTTCACACTGTCTTCTATTTTTTCATTCTTTTGTTTTGTTTTACAATGTTTTGATTTCTCATAAAATCACTAGCTTCCATTTGTTCCATTTTAATTTTTAAGGAAGTATTTTCTTCAGTGAGCTTTTGGACTTCCTTTTCCATTTGGCCAATTCTGCTTTTGAAGGTATTCTTCTCCTCATTGGCTTTTTGGTCCTCTTTTGCCATTTGGGTTAAGCTATTTTTTAAGGTGTTATTTTCTTCAGTATTTTTTGGGTCTCCTTTAGCAAGCTGTTGACTTGTTTTTCATGATTTTCTTGTATCACTCTCATTTCTTTTTCCAGTTTTTCCTCTACTTCCCTTACTTGATTCTCAAAATCCTTTCTGAGCTCTTCCATGGCCTGGGACTGATTCATATTTTTCTTGGAGGCTTTGGATGTAGGAGCTTTGACTTTGTTTTCTTCTGGTTGTATGTTTTGATCTTCTTTGTCACCAAAGAAAGATTCTACAGTCTGACTTTTTTTGTGCAGTTTGCTCATGTTTCCAACCAATTACTTGAGTTACAAACTCTTTGTTAAGGTACAGGTCTGCTTCCAGTGTGGGGAATGTACTGTCCCAAACTTCAGGGGTTTTGTGTGGCTGATTTCAGAGATACTTCTAGGGACTTGTAAATTTTCAGTTCATCTAAGGTGGTATGACCAAGAGCGAGGTGTTTACTCCTTTCCTGGCCTGTGCTCTGGTCTATGAGTGACCACAAGAACTCTTTTCTGCCTTGGAACTGTGAGAAAGATTTCCTCTCCACCACCATTACAAGCTCCACCATGCCAGACCTCCTCCTCGCCCTAGGACCACCACCCAGAACTGTGACCCAGATCCAAGCACAGGCAAGAGCAAGAGAATTCTGCCTCAGTGTCAGCAAAGAGAGCCCTGCAATCCCCTCTGATCAGTGCTTGATCCCTCTTCCACCTTTGGGCCAAGAGTTCCACAAGCAGCCACCACCCTGAGGCTGCAGCTAGGACTGGGGCTGGGACCGAGTTCCTCTCTCACCACAGTCAGACATACCTTTCCTGCTGACTTTCTAAGTTATCTTTGGCGTTTGTGGGTTGAGAAGTCTGGAAACTGCCACAGCTCCCCTTGATTAATCCCTTCAGGTTTGCTGAGGCCATTTTTGCCGGTGAGGCCCATGCTGAACTGCGCTCCTCTCCCAGCTTGGGGCAATAGAACTTTCCAATCAACCACTCAGGTTGTCTTGGGCTGGAAATTTGTTTCACTCTGCCTTTTTGTGGGTTCTGCTGCTCTAGAATTTTTTTAAAGCCATTTTTTAACAGGTATTTTGGAGGGGTTTCAGGGAGAGCTCAAGCAAGTCACTGCTTTCACTCTGTCATCTTGGCTCCGCCCCATATTCATCACTTTAATCAGAGCATTTATTAAGTGCTTACTACTTGCCAGGCATTGTGCTAAGTGCTAGGCTGCCTGCTATCACACTTGGAACCATAAAGATTGGGACCTCAGTAATGTTAATACAATACTATCAAACTTAAAAGATACATTACTCCCTTCATTAACAATTAATAAACTTTTCAGAGATGTAAAAAGATTTGCTTGGGTGTGTTGGAAACATCTGTACTGTCAAAACAAAACACAGTAATACATTTATATTTTTTAACCTCAGGCAAAGCCTAAAAGCACACTCACTAGGGCATAGATACCAGTCCTTGCATGGAGTCAAGCGCATGCTCCACAAACAGGACATCTTCTAAGTGAGCCTCATCCCCTCATAAGGCCTCACCTTATAATAACGACTGAGCTAGTGCTACTTCTGAGTTTAATCTGGTCCCTAGGAATCCAGGTATCTTCCAAGTACTCCCAGTTATCCACTTACAGTATATGAAAAGGAAGCTCCTTATAAGCTCCTTGAGGGCAGAGACTATCTTTCTTTTTTGTACTTGTATCCCTAGCACTTAGTACAGTGCCTGGTACATAGTATGCACTTCATAAATGTTTATTGATTTCAACACTATACTAATGCTATCTTTTATCATAGGAGATAATCACCAACAGGTACTGAAGGTTAGGAAATTTGCATCTCTTGCTCCCTAACCCTAAAGCTTCAGAGACCATTACCCATAACTGGAATTTTGGCATTACCCTCCATAATTATAATATCTTATTTTTCCATCTCTTACTGTTTCACTTCTCCTCTAGCCTTTCCTTTTATAGCTACCAGCAGTGTTCTTCCATCCTTCTCTATTTTGCCATTCCATCATCCCTGCTCTGGCCTCACTTTTCTCTTTTTAGAGCCAATTCTTTAGGTGACCGATTCAACTAGAAACTGTCTTCTACCCTCGCCCCCTCATCCTATCACATTTCAAATTCAAATAATTCTCAACCCCATATTTCCCTCAACATCTGAATTCTCTGCTTCTACTCCTAAGCTACTAAATGGTACTGGAAGAAATCACACTATCATGTTGACTAGGTCAACTAAAAATTCTGAATTTCATCTTATTTGCATAGTAATATTACATAGCAGGCACTTAATAAATGCTTATTAATTTTTCATTTGTCATAATTTTTTCCTTTCTTACTTACATTTCAACTTCCTCTGAACTACTACTCTGGCTTAAAAACAATTTCGTTTTTGTTTTTTTTTTGTTTCCAACAAGAACCATCTATCTCAATGTGAGAGGAGGCACAGACACTAATTTGGTCATAAGTCTTATAAGTAGGCCTGTACATTTTGGAAGCTTTGTTGATATGATGTGTTAAAAAACCAGAAATTTCACATCTAGACCCTTACGTACTGCATTTTTGAAGAAGTGCAGAAAGAACTCAGAAAATTTGGAGGCCAAGAGGCTTGTGTTTAACACACTATTCAATTTGGACCTACTTGCCAAATCTATTATGTCAGTGACTGAAAGGAACATCCTTTTATGTGACATTTTTCAAATACTTCGTAGCCTTTCAGGTATGCATGGCCTTGCTAGTTTGGGCAGTTTCAAGTGTCCTTGAAGTAGGCTTGGAGATCTGAACCCCTTTGTCTTGAACGATAACATAACGCTCTCCCAATTCAGTATCAAACCATTTTCAAAAATCACTTCATAGAGCTGCCCTCAAGGAGCTTACAAGGAGCTTCCTTTCCATATACTGTAAGTGGATGACTGGGAGTACTCTGAAGATATCTGGATTCCTAGGGACCAGATAAAACTCAGAAACAGCACTAGCTCAGTCATTATTATAAGGTGAGGCCTTATGAGGGGATGAGGCTCATTTAGAAGTTGTCCTGCTCGTGGAGCATGCACTTGGCTCCATGTAAGGACTAGTATCCAAGCCCTAGTGAGACTGCTTTTAGGCTTTGCCTGAGGTTAAAAAATATAAATGTATAAATAATAGATAAATAATAAAATAGAGAATTTACTCTATTATTTTGTTTTAGTATGGTCCTATGATTTCAATGATGTGGAGGGTTCCCAGTGAGAAAGCTCCTACCTACTCAAAAATTTCTGCCTCCATCTCATACAGGATAAAATATAAACTCTTTATGCTGACATTTTTATTCCTTCACACTCTACCTACCATAGTCTCATTTCAATTATTCTTCTCTATGACCTCTATGTTTTAGCCACCCTGACTACTAGTTGTTCCCAGGATTAGACATTTGTCTCCCCCCGCTTTCCCTACGGCTCTGTGCATCTGCATGACTAGGATTCACTCTATCCTCACCCCCACTTCTCAGAAGCCTTATCTTTTCTAGGCTCAGTTCAGATGCTAAATCCTCTATGAAGCCTTCCCTATCTCCCAAAGAGTTAGTGTTTTCTTCTCCCTCAATTCTGCTACTGTTATATCTACCTGCGTATGTAATTTGAACACTTAAGTAAAATGTAAAATCCTTGAGGGTAGGCCCTCATTACCTCATGCTTAAGGTAATAAGAGAATCACAGGCTCTCTTCCTATCCCTGGGATATACTCTGTCCTCACCTTTACCTTACAGAATCAATGGCTTCCTTTAAGGCTCAGCTCAAGTGCCATCTCCCACAAGACCCTATCTTGATACTACCTTGATGCCTATTGTGATCCCTCTGGTTACCAGAGCCCCTATACCCACAAGGAAATTATGTTGAATTTAAGGGGGGGGGAACAGGATTTCAAGAGAGCAATTATTTTATACTGATACTGCTATTATGGCTCTATATGTGTTTTGCTTAAGCCTATATTTTAATTTTATCCTTGAATTCTGAGGGAAGAAGAGGAAAATTGAGCGGAAGAGGGAAAACAGGAAAGAAGGAGAAGAGGATGGAAAGGGCTAAATGTTACAGTAAATTTTTCTACATACAGAAATTTTCTTCATCCAATTTCCTGAAGCTAATGCTAACCTTCATAAAAATCTAAAACATTTACCTTTCTGCATTAGAGGAATCATCAGAGAATTCAGTATCTGCTGAACTTTTCCTGCTATTATTTGACCTCCAAGAAGATGCCAAAGGAAGTTCCTCTGAAGACATTGGTCTTGGTCGCTGGCCAATACCTGATGGTTGCTGCAGTCCTGCAGACTGTTCTTCTGTGCTTAAAACAGATATAATTGCTCTTATGGTTGCTTCATCAACTTGAGACCAAGGCTTAGAAGGAGCTCTCATACGACGCAAAAATAAGCTATGCCATTTCTGTCTGAGTTGGAGCAATAAGCTGGCAGCCTGTAATTAATTTTTATTCAATTAGAATTCATATTGAAGCAGAGGATATAAAAACTATTTGCTTTATTCAGGGGATTTTGCAATTTTCAATGAACAAAACTTGTGCTTATTTTCCTCATAATTTTACCCATACTTTTAGTTTATTTTTTTTCTGGCTTGTTTTTTTTTAAAAATTTATTTAATATTTTATTTTCCCCCAATTACATGTAAAAACAATTTTTAACATTTGTTTTTAAAATTCTGAGTTCCAAATTCTCTCCTTTCCTCCTTCCTCGCCATGCTCATTGAGAAGGCAAGCAATTTGATACACATAATTTGAAAGAAAAACTGTTGTCTCCTTTTTCCTGACACCTCCCCCCGCCCCCATCTCTCTCCTTCTATGCCTCCCTCTCTCTCTTCTCTTCCTAGATACATAAATAGAAAGAAGTTCTTAGGAGCATAGAATTTAAAGATGGAAGGGACATCAGAAATAGTCTACTTCAGCTTCTTAATTTTACAAATATTAGGAAACTGAGGCTTAAAGAGGCGATACGACACATGTAGTAAATGAGAGAAGGGATTCACACCCTAGATTTTCTGACTTTAAATCTCATGTTTATGTACCATTCTCTCTCTCTCTCTCTTTTTTTTTCTTAAACTATTATAGTTCTGTGTTCTGTGAAGAACTATTGTCAGAAATATTTCCAGGTTCACTGAAATACTACCTAACTTTTCTCCCTAACACTGCCATCTTTACAGCCAAGAACTTGATTTTTCTATCTATCCTTGGACTGAGCAAAAAACTCATCTGAAGATGGAGTCTACAGTGAGAATAACAACAAAAAAGGTTTCCCTCAATATTCAGGGGAGAGAATTGGTTATAAAAATCACACAAACAAGAAGTTGCTAAATATGTTTATATAGTGTACTAAAAGAGAACTACCTCTGGATCCATTTTGAAATTTAGCCATTCATCCAGTTTCAATGCAGCCAAATTAGCAGTGGTTCTATCTTCCATTTCACTGTCACTGCTGTCATTAGGAACACCATCCACTTTTCAAACAAAATATTAAGGAAGAAAAAAAATACATAAATTTTAGCACATATTTCAGGGCAGAAAAAAATCTTAAAAGATGTTTCTAAGGAATGTTCCCATGCTTACATAAATCTTCCTGACTTACTTAAATATTTATGTGGACAGATCTCTTCCGGTTTTCTCTGTTTCAAAAGCCAGCAAGGAAGAATGGGAGGGGAGGTGACATAAGAAAAGCAAACATCCTTCAGGAAAGCTCAAGTAGTCAAAGTAGATATTTGTATGTAAAGCATTTTGAAAACCTTAAAATACTATTTAAATTCAGTTATTATTATAGTCAAGAATGCACATACAAATCTTGAGATATTTTGGAACTACAGAAATCATGATAAAACTTTATAATCTGTATTCACTACTCAAAAACACTGTACATTCATATACGTTCCCTCCAACAAGGAAGACCACAAATTACCCATGGCTACCTATTTGATGTGACTCTTGTCTTCTTGCAAATTTGTCACAGCAATTAGTTTACCTGACATAGCCTTCCTCTTTCCCTTATCACTAAGACACCAGTGGAGCACCTGAGGTATCCACCAGTTATTACTCGTGTTTTCCAGATAACTAGTCCATTTTCTTTTTTGAGTCATCCAGTCTTTGAGAACGTGTTACTCTTGTTCTTTACTGTTTTTCTTTTTCATTGTCATCATATATTATGGCCTGTTTATACATACCATATGCTTTTCCACTGCCCTCTAGGTGATACTGATTTTGAATTCTTGAAAGACTGTAGCATTCCATGTCCCACAAGTGCAATATTGGTTTTAAAGAGATGGGCCTTTGTATCTGGGAGAAATTTGGGGTCACTAAAAGAGCTTTGCAATTTCCTAGTGCTATTTTCATCCATCTTTATGTCAAAATCTGGGCAACAGACATTCATCAACCATCTGGTTTTTCCTGTGAGATGGTAAGACCAAATTCTTTTGAGTGGTTATGGACATCCTTCAGGAAGCTCTACAATGTCTTCAGGCTTGACACAATCAACACAATTTCATCTGCAAGTAAGAGTGGATGGAGGTCCTTATCACCTCTAGGGAATCCACTTCAACTTGGATTTTGCATTGGAACTCTCCATGACAGCGGCAAACCTAACATTGATGATCAAGGTTTGGTAGAAGCAACATCTCATGCATACAGGATAGGTTAGTTTCTCCCATAAAGTTAACGACTCTTCTGGATTTAATTAGTTTTAGAGTCTAAGGCTCAATGCATTAACATATATATGAAAGCCTAGTGAAGAAAAAGGAGCTTACCACCAAGGCAAAAAATAGGAGTATTATGTACAACTAAATAAATGCTGTATCCCTGCTAAATATCCTTTCTATGCTGCTGTTGTTGCTGTTGTGTCATTTCAGTCATGTCCAACTCTTCAGGACTCCATTTGTTATTTTCTTGGCAAAAATACTGGAATGGTTTGTCACTTACTTCTCCAGTTCATTTTACAGATGAGGAAAATGAGACAAACAAGGTTAAGTGACTTGCCCCGCACCACCAAATAGATGCTAAACCCTTGTTAAACATCCTTTCCATGCTACTGTTAAGTAAAATTAATTTTGCTAAATGGTCTACGAATGCCCCATTTTGTTGCAATGCCAAATCTGAATCACTGGACCTACTTGAATCAGGTCAGGCCCAGAAATCTCAATACACAAATCATGAAAATGTTCTGTGATTTCATAAATTAGGCATTCCTTCCAATGATGCAGATCATAATCCACACAGGTCAATTTTCATTTATGTCCTTCCCCAAATTCTCCACAAGAGAGCCACCCAATGTGCTTGAGGCTTGCCTTCCTCACCTTCTTCAGGCACTGCAAAGAGCCAATGGAACACTCTGGCCACCTATATATCATCCCCTGCTCTCACCAAATGACTAGACCACCTTCTCTGTCATATTACTTAACAAAATCTTTTCTACCCGTTCTTCAGAGTTCTTCATTGGTTGTAGGTGCCTGCTCACATCTTTCACTATATTCTCTGTGTTCATCTTTAGTTCTTCAAGGAAGTGGTGCTCCAGGTCTTGCTGCCATACAAGCAAAACTGATAAAATGTTTTTATTGAAAAGATGGGCCTTTGCTGTTATTGGAAGCTTTGGATTAGCAAAAATGCTCTGTAAGGTCCTAAAACCAATCTAGTTCACTCCTGTATTTGCTTTTAACTCTGGGCTCAACTCACAGTCTATATGTATAATCTAACTCAGATATATATGCTGTTGTATAAGCTCTACTGGGTAGCCTCAATTTTTTAGCTGATGCATGGTGAAATCAGAACAATTGGCATTTTTCATCTGTTTGGTTTTTTCTATGAGGATGGACAAGTCAAATTATTAAGTGATTACAGATCTCTTCCAGGCAGATTGATAATGACTTGGGGATGCAACTAACACAATATCACCCTCAAAAAAGGAACATTTGGGAAACTTTATCACAGAGACTCCTTCTACCACTTGTACTTCTGTGCTAGATATCCTCCATCACAGTGAATACTTATGACAAATATGTATCTCCCTATATTATTCCGTGCCTGAACTTTGTTATCAAATGCTCATTTCTGCTGTTACATCTTCCAAGGAATCCTGAATGATCTTCACATTCAGGAGACAGGAGGTAAGATTCACCTCGCTGCAAAAAAGCCTGTAAGGCAGTATTTTTTAAAAATAAATTTTATTGAAGCTTTTTGCCTTTTTATTATATCATCAACATATATTATTTTATAACATTTATTTTGATATGTCATAAAATTATATCATGTTATATTTTATTTTGTGATATATCATCAGTACATATACCAATTTTATCATCAATTCTTCCTCTCCCAGTGATCCTATATAACATAATTTTTAAATGAAAAAAATAATCAAGACTGATTAACTGAAAAATGTCTAAAAATATATACAACATGCAAAGGGGTAGAGTGAGGTTTTGTCCCTTCTTGTACATTTTCTTTGGTGTCATGCTTGCTTTTTATAATTTTACAGCATTCATTTCTGGTTTGTTTGTTTTTTGTAGTCCTTTTTTCCCTTTTAGTCATCAGATATATATGGCATTTCCCCCAAATAAGTTGAATAACTTTTCATAACCAACAAATACTGAGCACAACAGGATGTCATTCTCTATATTTTTTATATTCCACTGTAAGAAATCACTTGTGAAAGCTTCTTGTTCCTTATCTGTACCCTCATTGAAGGATTCCCTCAATTCCCCTACAGATAAACCTTGTAAACATTTTGAATAGATAGAAAAGTAGGCATATACATCTTTTTTATTATTAAAAAATCTGATTTTTCCTATACCTATGGTATCTTCTCCTCTTTGAAATAACTTGTGTATTGGTCCCTCAATACTCTTTCAATTGTAATGCCTCAAAAACAGATGTCTTCTATGTACAGTTATTCCTTTTCCTACATCCTGGGGGTTAGGCGCATGGTGCCAAAATTGTTTGGCTCTCCCTTTGTACCAGAGAAGTCTGAATTTTTTCTTTTATGGGGTGTTTACAGTACTTTATTGTAAAGTTTGGGTTAAGTATTTGGTCATAGGCTCTGTGTCATCTGTTGGCTTCAACATGTCGTCTGAGGCTTCTGCAAAACTCCCACAAAATTTCCATTTAATTTTTCATGCTAACCCGTAATAAATTGAAACCTTAATGGGGAAAGTTGTGACGTGGAAGGGATAACTGTATACTGGATTTTAATCTGGCTGCTTTTCCCATCTTTGTCCTTTTCATCTGTAAGTACCTCAGAAACTATCATGTTAGAGTTCAAGTGCGGTGGTTTCATTATCATTGCTGACCTGTGTTAAAAGTTATTTTTTTTCCATTTTTTCTTCTGTTTATAGACATTTTTCCAGTTTCATCCTTAAATGCAACTGACATGACTTGCTATGCTTTATTTTAAGTGGTTTTATTCTTCACTGATTCTGTCTGCTCTGTGAAATAATAGTGTTCATAACCATTCATCATTTTTCTTCATAAGATTTTGAAGATTCATTTATATCCTAACTCAATGTTGTCTTTGTCAGCTATTTCTATTTGGTCAGCAAATCAATTATTTGCTAAAGCACATTCTGGAATCTTTTGTGGTCTCCTTGTTGTAGGAATTAATATATATTGGTTTAACTTCTGGGTGAAATTATTATAGTTGGTGTTGATGTAATTTCTGTTGTCCATTTCCCATTTTGATTTTAAGTAGCTTTTTAAAATAATTCAGTTAAATCATCCTAATTGTTCACCATATCTTTTTCTTATTACTTCTTTGTTTTTGTTATGATAAATACTGATTTTAATATGATGAGTCAATAGTCTGTACACATATAGCTGACCATACAATAAATCCCGTGTCAGTAACATTTCTTTTCTAGGCTGTTAAAACATAGTCAATTTCATTCTTTGTGAAGTTACTTCATGCTCACTTTGTCCAGCGCCTACCAATTCTTTTTTTCATAAAGCGTCCATGATATAGAGATGTAAGGCTTTTGTACAATCTCCAAGTATTTGGTCAATTTCATTTCTTTCTCCTGAATCATACTTTCCCATATATTTCTCTCCATCTTCACCTTTTCCCACTTTTCCACTAAAGTCACCAAGTATCACTGTAGATGTACTTGATTTGGAGGATCTTATCAAGTTGTTCATAAAATTCCTATACAATTTATTCTAATCCAGAACAAAAGATAATATACATAAAATGCCTTATAAATCTTAAAAGTTAACACTTAAAAATATTATCTGTTGTTATGTCTTTCAAGGTATGAACAATTTTGATGTATTATGAGAAAAACCTTGTACAAAGATAGTCTTTAAGGCTATGGTTTGTGTGCTACTTACTCAAATGACTCTTTTTTCATTTAACAGTCCATAAGATAAGCACAATGAGATTTTACGGATACATCTTTCAGTCAATTACATTGTAAAGATGTGACCTACTGTGGAACACTTTAAGAAAGCAGGTTCACTCTCTACTTATATCATCCATCAAGAATTCCTCTGATATGAGTATAGATTATTCTCATAAAATTGTTACATAGTTTGGAAAGTAGGCATATAAGTCAACAGTTGTTGACAGGCTTTTGAGCTTTCTTTTTCTTTTTGTTATTTATAAAATTCAAGATTTTTCCATGTCTTTGGTACCTTCTCTTCAAATACTCTGTGAATCTTACTCACTCAACACTCTCACAATTGTTATCACCTCCAGCATAAATACTGTTTATGCACATGTGATCTAATCTCATTGGTACTTCCAAACCTGGGGCAGCTAGATGGCTCTGCGGATACAGTGCTGGGCCTGGAAGCAGGAAGGCTTGACTTAAAATCCTGCCTCAGACAGTTACTAGCTGTGTGACCTGGGGCAAGTCACTTTACCTGTGTCTGCCTAGTAGGCAACTAGGTGGCTTAGTGAATAGAGCACTGGGAGTCAGGAAGACCTGTGTTCAAATCTAGCCTCAGACACTTACTAGGCAAGTTACTTAATCTTTATTTGCCTAAATCCACTGGAGAAGGAAATGGCAAACCACTCCAGTATCTTTGCCAAAAAAGCTCCATGTACAATATGGTCCACACAAAGCCATGATGAGTCAAACATGACTGAACAATTGAAAAACAAATTTCAGAACTGGTTTTTTAATGGCATTTCTACCTACTCAATAAACATATCCAGGAATGTGATATTAGTCTAAGCATGGGGGCTCCACGGTGAAAACAGTTTGTTATAAATTTTTTTCTCCATCTTCTTTTTATTGTTCTTCCAGTTTTATTCCTAAATACTCTCAGAATGACTCTACTTAATTCAATCTTTGCCAAGCTTTTTCAAAATTGGCTTAACTTTTCAGCTTCTCTCTATTTTATAAAGTAATAATAGCTACCACCATTGATCTCCATAAGATTTCATATTTCTAACTGGTGCAGTTGCTCTTAAATTGCTCTCTTTTTACTTGGCAAGTAAGTCAAGTGTTATCTAATTAAAGCAGTTTTTAGGCTTTTTGGGTCTCTCTTTGGTCTCCTTGGCAATTATGCCTGTCAGTGAAACTTCTAAAGGAAATTACTATACTCAGCACCAATGTACTTTTGTCCATCTATATCCCATTTTTAACACTGAAAACTTATTCAAAAAGATTAGGTTAAAGTTATTTTAATGAATACCATAATTTCCTCATTTTTCTTTTCTTTTGGTTTTGTATTCACTTTGATCTTTGCTCTAATAAATTAGTAGTTTGAATGTATAGACAGTTAATTTAGAAGTATTCCCACATAAGCAATGAATTTGTTCAAATTTCCTATCTGTTAACATAATCATTTTCATTTTTTGGTGGGATGTAATTTAGTGGTCACCATGTCCCTGGCTTTCCAAATTTTTTTTGAAGAAAGCATTTATGATGTAGAATCACAAGTTAACCATGAAAACCATAAGTTGTGGTGTCTCTTAGTACTTATTCCAGATCCATACCTTCCAATATATTTTTCATCATTGTTGCATTGTCCCTACTTTCACCTTTGTACTGAAGTCAGTAAGTATCAAAATACATGTTTAATTTGCAGAGTTAGCAAATTCTTCAAAGAACTGTTCTATGACGTTGTCCCTAGAAACACACACTGGTGTGTAAATTAAAATTGTTTTCATGTTGGTCTTTTTGTGAATACTCACAATCACAACAGTATGAAATGATAATGTCCCATGAAATGATATTTCTTGTTGCCTTTGAATCTCTAATAAATGTCACTCCATCAATTCCTTTATTTGTATTTTCATGTGATACTTTTCTTTTTTTTAATCATTCATAATGAAAACGTTGTCATTGATATAATTCAGTTCTTCTGGTAGCATAGCTACTCCTTTGTCGCTGGACAAAGATTTCATATTTAGAGCTAAGTTAAAATTGAGATGGTCTAAAAGCTGTGTAATTCTTAACATCCTCTGCTCACTTTTCCAGAATCTTGCCAATGGCCCTACAGAAACTGAAGAACAGGGGTCATTTTGTATTTTTCTTTATTTAGTTGGTTGCCCTGTCCAATGAATTTATCATCAAACAGATGACTTGCTAATGATACTACTTAGTTAGGTAGGTCCTCAGAAAGGTGACTTATACTGTTGCTGGGATCATACTTGAGCCTTTCTAGTACAGTATGATCTTCCAACTGGGAATATCTTTGTCTCATGAGGAAACACAAAGGGCTAAACCTTTACACTGCAAGTTACACATAATGATAGCTACTGTGTTTGATTTTTTTACTTCATAATATTCTTGTTTTAATAAGAACTTTACCTCTAAAAGATGAAGGTTCCTGAAGAGCATTACTTGCCAATCTAGCTGGTCCACAAAATACTGAAACAGTGACAGGTGTCACAGCTGAACAACATCGGATATTGGCTATTCTGTGTGCTCTGGTCATTTCGTCATATATAAGCCAATCTGTGGGGAGTGCTTGAAGAGCTGCTGCTTGGCCATTGGCTGGAGGAATCTGTTAAAATTATAAAAAATAAAATTACATAAAATTATAAAAGTTAAAATACAATTAATTTTAAAAAATTAATTATGAAATTATAAAAATATCTTTGGAAAGAGACCAAGAAGTGCTATTGCTGGGTCAAAGGGCATAGGTGGTTTAAAAACTCTTTGGGCATAACTCCAGATTGCTCTACAAAATGATTCAATCATTTCACAATTCTGCCAACAATAAATTAGTGTCCCAATTTTTCCACATCCTCTCCAACATTTGTCTCTTTCCCTTTTTATCATATTAGTCAATCTGGTAGGTGTAAAATGATATCCCAAGGTTGTTTTAATCCGCATTTCTCTAATCAATAACGATTTAGAGCATTTTTTATATTAGTATAAATTGTTTTAACTTCACTAGAAAGCTGCCTGTTCATATTCCTCGACCATTTATTAATTGCAGAAATGTTTACAGCAGCTCTCTTTGTGGTGACAAAGAACTGGAAATTGCAGGGATGCCCATCAATTGGGGAAAGGCTGAACACATTGTGATATACGATTGTGATGGAATACTATGTTGTGCTATAAGAAATGATGAACTCAATGATTTTAGAAAAACATGGAAAGACTTGAATGAAATAATGAAGAGTGAAATGAGCAGAACCAAGAGAACATTGCATATAATAACAGCAATATTTTTCAGAAGGACTTTGAACAAATAAATTATTTTGTTTCTTATAAATACCCAAATTAACTTTAAAGGACAGATAAAGAAAGATGCTGTCTGCATCCAGAGAAAGAACTGATAAACAGAAACATACATAGAATAATTGTACACATATCTAATTTGTGTCTAATGGTAGCTATCTCTAGGGTGGGGTGTGGGGGAAGAAAAGGAGAAAAAAAGAAATTTACATGATAATTTTGTTACATATTTGAGTTGTGCATAGCAGATTTCTAGTTTCATGTACAATTATCTTTTTTATTGTATTGTTACGGAAATGCTTGTTTTATTCCATAAATTAAAAATAAAATTTTAAAAAATTATAAAAATATTTTAATTGCTACTCAGTTTACTTAAAGTGCTTTGCTTTTTTTTTTTTTTTTTTTTTTTTGGTTTGTTTTAGGCAATTGGGGTTAAGTGACTTGTTCTGGGTCACACAGCTAGTAAGTGTCAAGTGTCTGGTCTGAGGCTGGATTTGAACTCAGGTCCTCCCGACTACAGGGCTGGTGCTCTATCCACTGCGCCACCTAGCTGCCTCTAGTATATTCAAAATGTTAATGTTTTCTCATGAAATACATATGTATAGTAACATATACCCTATTATCAGAATCCCGAAACATGTAGTATTTCATAAGTTTTAAATGAAATAATATTTTTTATTTTAAAATAACCACTCTAGTTCTCTCATCCCTAGGTCTCCACCAAATTTGCTTTTTCCTGGTGTTTAATTTCATATATTTAATAAATATATGACTATAAATATTAAATATATTTCATAAAAACCAATTCTTGGCATTTTCATATTCTTGAGCTAAATTTTATTCTATTTATTCTGCTAAGTGAAATTCAAAAATGAAATCAAGAATGTAATTTACCTTTTTATATTGAGGTTGACTGAGAACAGAAGTTGGATGAAACCGTACTTTTTTCTCCTTTGGTCCTGTCAATACTACATTCTCTCTGTCCACATGAACTAAATTAGGATACATGCCTGCCACCAATGCAGCTTTAACCACAGCCCAATTCTCAGAGTTTGTGTTAACATCCCGAATGTCACCACCACCTCGTGCTCTAACAAAACCTAGAATGTAGAAAACCCATTTATACTTTATAAATGATTTCAAAACTAAAAAAAGCTTTCTCACAATAAAAATTATAACCCATTAAATCAAGTACACACACACAGACACACACACACAGATTTATGTAATATCCTTTTCTGGAAAACCTTTAAAATAGGAAAAAGTATTTCATAAGTAATTCTGTAACCTCAATAAACAAAGTCATAGACTCTCTGGGATTGTTTCTTAATCTATAAAATGAGGGGGTTTGATGAGATGTTTTCTTAAATGTCATCATTCTATGATCTCTGTAACATATTTTTGGGTCATCCAAGATGAAGGTAAGTAGTTGGGATTAAATGATGTCCTAAGATCTTTTCTATTTCTATTATTTGAAATATTAGTCCTTGACCTATCATTTACTAGGTACTACCAAAGGATACTACAAATGGGCAACTGAACATTTTCCCAGATCAAAGTAAATTATATATTGGCTACAATATAAAGTGAAATGTCAAAAGTTTTTTCTTTCCTTTATCCTCACCCAACACATCATTAAACTCGACTCCTTCATCCTAACAGTAGCATATCTATCTTTTGTCTAACCTGAAATCTAAAGCCTCGAAGTATTTTTCCTTACTGAACTGCAATCCTCAATAACTGATGCAAAGTAATTATCCTAGAGGGAAATAGAAACTTAAATGTTCTCTAAAAGAAAAAAAAGGCATTTGGTGCCATAAAGCAATTAAGTGGTTTTAAAAATCTTTAACAATTTTATTTTAATTTCCACAATGTCTTATTTTGTGGTGATGCTGGGTTCTCAAAGACTCTACCATAGGAACTTAAGTTCCAGCAGGTTCTACCATACAGGAAATGCTTCAAGTATTGCTCCAGAAAAAGAACGAGTCTTATTTAGGAACCAATGTGACTAAATTCAGAGAAGCTTATTACTAGAAAGTACTTTAATAATTCCAAAGCTTCCCATGAAAATAAAGGCCCATCTTTTCAATACCAACATTCTACTGGTGGTGGTATAAGGCAATTAAGACATGAAACACAAGTCTCCAAAGAACTGAAAATAAACATTTCAGAGGCCAATGGAGAAGTATATGGTGGGTGTGAGCAGGCTACAATATGTAACCAGTGAAAAACATGAAAGAAAAAACAGAGTAAAACAGGAAATATATAAAAACCTATCACATGGTACAGATAAAGGAAGACTGATGGACAGCCACAATGTTCCACTATTATCTTCTTAATGTCAGGCGAAGGCAAGGAAGGCCTTTAGCACATCAGGTAGACCTGTTTGGCAAATATACAGGAGGTGGGTAAGAACCATACATGATGAGAAGACATGGAGGTGTGGCAGTAACTTTCATCACTGGAAGGAACAAGCAAATTTTAACTTTTACAACCTCCCTGTCAAAATGTTGGCCATGAAATATTTGCTACAACATATGTGCGTATGTGTGTATATGGGGAGAAAAAGAAGGGACAGAGAGATAGAGGAGCAAGAAAAAATGCCAGTCACAAGTGGGTAAGTGTATGTTACTTTGCAGGTTTATCATAATTTCAGATGTTTCAATATCAATGAAAATGAGAAGACTAAAGACAGACAAGTAAAATTCCACAAAGCACTTTGTTAAATCTAATATGTGCAACCTAATGTGTATCCTGCATGGCAAAATAAGCTGTAACTGCTAAAAACATCACAAGTATGAGCGTGCTTATACTCAATATAGTAACTACTTTAAAACTTTACCTGACGCTCTAAGCTGACCCAGCAACTGAGTTCTCATGCCTATGATGATTTCCATGGTAGCTTGTGAGAGAAAATTCTTTTCACAAAAAGCTCGTTCCCAGCCATCACTTCGTGCTTTCTGCCATGCCTATAGAGAAGATTAAACAATACTTAATGAACATCTAAAATATGCAAGGCAGCAGCATTATTGAAAACTAAGACCTAATTTATCTCTCCAGTTTTGCTTTTCTTCTTCTAGCATTTTATTAACCTTTAAAAATTATCATAAGCTAGTTTGGCCTTCTTAGGGGTCTTCAAGAAGGGAGTCTCTTCATGTTTTAGTTGATCAGTAAGGTCCCTTTTAACTCTCAAATTCTTTGACTCTGTGATCCTCTAATTTATCAAATGAAGCAAAAGCTCCTTAACTTACTTGTTCATTAAATAGAGGGAAGGGCATCAATGACGTAAACGTGCTACCTGAAGTCCGAAATTGGGAAAGGTCCAACAATATTTAATTTACTTTTACTTTCTGCTATTGCTACTCCAAAAAAACAAAAATTCTACACTGTGACTGATACTTGATTCATTCTCTTGTCCTCCTCCTAGGGTTGGGGGAATATTCAATCTTCAATGAAACTTCAAAATAATATATATAGCAAAAATTTACAGCAGCCACTGTATCCTTAGGCCAAAGCCTTAACTCTCACCTTCCTTGAATGGAGCTGGAAAGCAAGGACTTTTGTAAACTGCCTATGCAGCAATGGAAAATGCTCTAGATAAACAGTAGGAAGCAGAGTAATAGCAAAAGTAGGAAGCTCCCAAAATGACAGAATCCTCTTGACTCAATTCCCTCTCTCTCTTTTCTAACCAAGTTCTCTGTTCCGAGGGGACAGAAGGAAATTAAGGTCAAAAAATGCTAAACAAAACATTATTTCAATATTCCTTCTACTGCTTATCTGCCTACAGGCAGATCATGGTATTTAGTAATCTAATGGCCCCTTGTTATAATGCTAATAATGTTTTGCATGTAACAGGCATATATAAATTTTCAACTATACAATAATTGTATTGGATTAAAAATTCCAATTAATTAAAAATTAAAAACCTGGATTAAAAATTCCTTTCAGCCACGTTCTACAATCTTAATCCAATGTTCTTTACATTGTACTTAAGATCCTACATCTTCTACCTCAGGAAGTGGCAAAACACACAATCTTCTTTTTCATATACAACTTCCCTCCATTTCCCATTTCTCATGCCTGTTTATCTCCCTGCTTCTCATATTCTACTTTGTTGTCCTTCTTTTACCATTATATTTTTGGTCACAACATGTAAGAATCTCTTTAAAAAATTATATTCTTGGTATCTTTCCCTGAAGTTCTACTCTACACTAAGCACAATGGCTGGCATATAGTATTAATAAATGCCCGCTGACTTGATATCTCATCATGGAAAGACATTCCTAGGTTCATGAAGGCTATAGAAATATTATACAAATTTTAGCAGGTTCTACTAAATTATAAAGGCTTCAAATATTAGTCTACCAACAGATTATATATGTCTTTCACCTAAGAACTAGCCTAGTTAAGAAGGGTTCATCACTAGAAGGTTAAGAGTAAAATGATTAATTTTCTCATTACAACTCGAAAAGACCATTAATTAAGGCATTAAGGTTGTTTTATCTACATTAGTTAGGGAGACCAATATGAGTGAAATCATAGATTCTTAAAGTATTGAAATACTATTTCTTACTTAACATATGCTATACAAACATATTAAGAGCCAAAAACATAAATATAAAGTTACAGGCCTAAAAGAAGATAATTGTGTTTGGATACAATAAGATAATGTTTATCAATAGATTAAAGATAAGTAGGCTGCTGGCTCTCTCTCTCTCTCTGTAAATGTGACTGAACACTTTTGAGATTTCAATTTTTTCTCCCCCATAATATGTATACCTGAAATCTGCCAAACTCCTAGGGGGAAAAAAACTAAAACTATTATCTTCTAAAGTTTTCAATAATCTTTTAGTTGTTGAATCCAATGGCAGTCCTGATCCTTCTTGATCTGATGACATTGTTAAGCCCCTTTCTCCTCCCAAATACTTTCCACTATAACAGATTTCAAAGATGGAATTAAAATTCAGCTCTTCCTAGATCTAAATGCAGAAATCAAGCCAATACATCACATTATTTCTCTAAAAACTCTGATATTTGAGCAAAAAAAAACAATGTCTTCTCCCCAAGCTCTGTCCTGGACACTCTTCTCTTTTCTTTTTACATCTTCTCACTTATCAGCTCCCACAGACTTAATTATCATCTCAATGAAGACAACTCCCAAATCTATAAATCAAGTCCTGATCTTTCCTGTTAATAGTAGTTCCTCTTCAACCACCTGCCCACTAGACATCTCTAAGAGGTTGCCTTATAAGTATCTTAAATTCAACATGCTCAAAATTAAACTCATCATCTTTACACACAAACCTAATCCTTTTCCAAACTTCCCTATGATGTCTATGGATACCACCATTCTCCTAGAAGTCCAAGTTTATAATCTCACAATTATCCCCTGACTTTACTGGTTCCTTCATCCCACATGCCCAATCAATGGCCAAATCTTGCTGATCCTACCTCCATGTCTCTTGCATCCATTCTCTTCTCTATACTCACCAAGACCTCATTTTCGTTCAGGCCTCCTACCTCCCAGTTGGTGTAATATAACAGCTTCCTTCCTGGACACTCAGTTTCCAATCTCTCTCCTCTCCAGTTCATGTTCCATACAACTGTCAAAATAATCTTCCTAAAGCACAAGTCTGGCCATGTCACTTCACTGTGACATGAACCTTCCAACATTTCTGTATTACCTCTATTATAAAATACAAACCCCTCAATTTGGCATTTGAGGCCCTTCACAATCTGACTGTAGCCTATCTTGCCAGGCTCATTTCATATTGTTCCCATTTGGTGTAACCCTACATTTCAGCCACACTGGCCTACTTTTTGTTCCATAAATTTAACATTCTGTGCCTTTATAAAAAACTTGCTCCTAGAACGGATTTCCATCTCCTTTCTACCTCTTAAAATCCCTGGTGTTCAAAAACTCATGTGCTACCTCCTGTAGTAGGCTTTCCTGACCTTTCCACTATCCCTAATTGCTAGTGTTCTCTTGTTAGTAAGCTCCTTGAGAGAAGGGACCTGGTACCTAGGACAGTTCCTTGATACATATCAAATACCAAACAAATGTTTATTAAGTTGTGGGCTTGGCTTTGGAAAACTGTCTGAGGTTCAGAGAGGTCAAGTGGCATGCCTATAATCACAGGGCTAATAAGTGGCAGAAGACAATTCAAACTCAGCTCTTCCTGTATCCAAGAACAGCCATCTAGGCACTAAATCACACTACCTCTCTAAGGACTATGGTATTAAAGCAAAAAAAGACACTAATACTCCTTAATGCACCAGCTATTGTCCAAGGTATTATTGTTCTATTTTTTGAGATTACTATCATTAAAATTAAGGTTAAGGTAATACATGCTTAAATACTTTAAAAGAGCTGTAATTTCATGAGTATAGATATTTCCCCTCCACAAATACTTATCACAAGTATTTTACACCTTAGTAGATAATTTCATGAGTTTCTACAACCAAAAATATCCATCATCTCATGGTCAACCTTCTAGTGATGAATTTTTTGAAATTTAGGCATGCTAGTACTCAGAAGACACCATTGGGTTAATACTTAAAAGTCCTTGCAGTTTACTATAAGGGCTTTGTTGCAGCACTGCCTTAACTTCCAACCACCCAGTATGTACAACATAGGACTTCAGCAGAATAACATATGTAACTAAACACTTTTGAGATTTTAAGTTTTTTCTCCCCCATACTATATACACCTGAAATCTGTAAAACCTGTACTCTTTCCATATATACCTGAAAAGCTCTCAGAAGTGCCATATGGTCGCTAAAGGTGCCTGCAGTAAAACGTTTCCTACACAGCATGGCTGCACGCTTTTGAGAAGCTTGTGTGGGTAGCACAAAAGGATCTCTATATGCTAGAGTACAGGCAATGGTAAGGATAGGGTCCAGACACTTCAAAACGACAGCACACAAGACCATTTTACCAAGGTGAGGTTCTACTGGCAAGTCAGCTAAATGATATCCAAGCTCAGTCAGATCTTCCCAGATATCCATGGCATCTATGGTCTAAACAAATGACATAGCCAAGTTTAATTGGATGTTACTGTTATATCCAGTTAGTCATACTAAACAAAATTATATACTCATATTAAAGAAAACAAAATATTTTACTGCTATTTCCCATACTCAAAGAATATATGTTGGAAGGGACCTTCAAGGTCATCTAGTCCAACTCCATAATCAATGCACAAATCTTGTCTACAAGATCTCTAAGAAGGGCTCATCAAGTCTTAGTGAACAACGTGAGTGAGGAGAATCTTGTTTCTTTAAGAGGGAGCCCATTTTATTTTTTTAGACACCACTAAACATTAGAAAGGTCTTTCTTATACCGAAACAAATCTACCTCCTTATAATCGTTATGCAGTGATTCTAGTCTCTCCTCTACAGCTAAGTAGAGCTAAGTTTGATCTCTTTTCCACATGGCTACTTTCAAATGTTTGAAGACTGACTTATTCCTCTATCTTCTTATCAGAAACATGGCAATTTGCTTCAAAAACACTATAATTAAGATGTGAAATATTTTTTATTTTATTATAAATAACACTTTTACTTAAACGTGAATAGTTTTTATTAACAATGTGAAAGAATGTTCCAAATCACCAATAATATGAAAAAAGCAAATCAAAACAAGCCTGAGATTTTACCTCACACCCAACAAATGGACAAAGGTGATGAAAAAGGCAAGTAGTCATGCTGGGATTACATATGCTAGGCACACTAGTCTATCGTTAGAAGAATTATGAAGTATAAGAATAATACGAATTACAAGAGTTACCACTATTTTGGAAAGTTACTAGGCATATACCTCAAGAAAGTCACAAAAAAATGTTCCTATATACATCAAAATATTTAGAGCAACACTTTTTGTGTTGGCAAAGAACTGAAAACAAAGTAGATGCCTATTGATTAGTAAATGACTAAACAAACTGTAATATATGAATTGAATGAAACATTACTATGCTGTAAGAAATTATAAATATGATGAAGACAAAGAGGTATAAAAAGACTTACATGAACTGATGCAGCGTAAAGCAAGCAGATCCAAGAAAGCAATATACCCAATGACTACAATAATGTAAATGGAAAAAGAAACAACTACAAAACAACTGAAAGTGAGTATTACAAAATTACAAAGAAGTAGACTCAAAGAGATACAAGAAGACACCTTCTACCCTCAACTTCTTTGCAGAGGTGGGAGGTCCATAGTTGTGGAACACTATATATTTTCAGATTTTTTTTCATTATATTGATTGGTTTTGCCAGTTGTCTTTTCTTCCTCTTTTTTTCTTTTAAAAAAATACTCTTTGTTATATAGGACAGCTCTCTCTGGGAAGGGAATATGGAAGGGTATGGGGGAAATGTAGGTGATATAAGATATCAATAAAAATGTATTTTTAAGAGGTACAAATTTATACAAGAGAGTACAAAAACAATTACAGATTAACCAATACTATTAAGATGCTTACCTTGAGCATTTGAACAGCATTTCTAACAATCAAAGCTGGTGGAGGTTCTGGGGCTTTCATAAGAAAGTCAGCAATGGGACAGTTAATAGGTGCTAATAGTTTGGTATGTAAACAAAGCTCCTGTAAATCAAAATCAGCAAACATATTTTGAAAAAAGCAATAAAATTAATCTCTAACATTGACTTTTGGAATTTTGTCCACTCACCAAAGCAGCAAATTTTTAAAAATGAGCTCTAAAATAAAATTTTTAAAAATATATGGTTTTAAATTAAATTCTAGATTATATCTTATATGGTAGCTATAAGCATAGAAAAAGCACACCCTATAGAATTTGACAAGTGCCTAAAAATAAGTGCTGGCTTACCTTCCAGGGGTGGAGGGGGGGCTCTTTGTAGGATCAGGTTTCCTACAATGTTGAAGTGGCAAAAACTGATAACATAAAGATGACCTAGTGTACTAGAACCTAGGGAACCAATGTACTTCTGGCATTATCCCTTAAAAACTAACAAAGCTTCTTTTACTTGAAATGACTTTATCTATTTATTTGCTAAAAACAATTGAGAACATAAGAGAATCATACAGAAATGAACTTATGAAATGCGTTAGTGAAAAGCTGTACATAAAGTATTTTCTGTAAACTGAAACTACTGAAAATTTACTACAGAAATGATAGCATTAACTTTCCAAGAACACTTAAAGGATGAATTTTCCTTTTGTAATGCAAATAAACACTCTCTCAAATATTTGTTTTGTGAGTTTAGAATTTCTGTAATTATGTTTTCTTAAAAATAAATCATATCTGCATGCTCAATATCAGTAAATTCTATTGTTCAAAGTTTCCAACCAAATTCCCACCTGCAGTGGCATTCTCAGAAGTTCTGGTGTCTGAAATTCCAACATATTCTGAAATCGAAGTCTGCTGAATAGACGAAAACAGATTCCAGGCTTACATCGCCCCGCTCTTAGGAATAAAATATTAAACAGAAACTGAGTATACAAATATGATTAAGTTCAAAAAAAAAACCAACAAATAATCTGTCCCTTAATGATACAGATATGGAACATAAAGTGGCTTAAGACTTTTCAAGTAAATGTTTCCTATATAAATCATGTTGGCCAATAAGATCCTTTCAACTAAAATACTTATTATCCTAATGAAATTCAAAATTAATGTTCAAGATCACCTGACTTCTTTGTACATCATTTACCTAACCAGTAAAAAAATTAAGTTTAAGATCAATTTAATTTAGTAATTGTAACAGTTCAATTCAATTACTCAATGACTACTTGATCACTATTTCTCTGGGCCTCGGTTTCCTCATCTTTAAAATGGACTAGATAATCTCTAAGGCTCAATTCAATTTAATTCAGTAATGATACAGCTCAGAATAAGCTGAGGCTGTCAAGGTAAGCAAGAACAACAAAAGGATATCTTTAACTATAGTGGGAGAAAAAAGGAGGATCAAAAAATAGGTCCTTTGCTTAGGGTAGATAGAACAATAATAACTGACAACAGAGAAAGTAGACTTGCTCTGTTCTTATTTTTGTCTTAGAAAATGAACTTTACACTGGAAATAACAGAGCAAAAATAGCTAACACAGTTGATAACCAAGTCATATAAGAAGACAGTAAGAGAGCACCTATCTTGCCTTGATTTTTAGTTATTTAGCCCAGATAAATTACATCCTTCAGTCCTGAAAGGACAGGTAGATCTGGCTGCTGAGCCACTATCAGTTATATCTGAAAGATCATGGAAAAAGGGAAATGAACCATGAGAATAGAGAAGGGCAAATTTCTGGATTTTCAAGAAGGATGAGGACAGTCTTGATTATAATGGTTTTAGAACAGTCAGTATGACTTTTAGTCCTAGAAAATAATTTAAATGAATAATTTAAAAAATGGCCAGTGAACATCTAGAAAAGGAAGGAGGGATTATAAAGGCATGGCTTCACTGAGAACAAGTTATATTGGACCAATCTCATTTTGATTTTTAAAAGACTATTAAACTAGTAAACTGGGAGAGTGCCATGGCTATACTTTACCTATATTTAAGCCTAGCTTTCGATAATGCAATTTCTCTGAAAAAGGTAGAGAGATATAGATTAAACAGTAATGATACAACTGGATGGATTCAAAACTGGTTGGATGGCCAAACTCAAAACAGTAGTTGTTAAAAGTTCAATGTCTATGTGGAAAAACACCTCCAATGGGGTACTCTAAGTATCTGTGCTTGGCCCTGTGATGTTTACATTTTTATTAATGATTTAAGTGAAGACATAGATAGTATGGTCATCAAGTTTTGCTTATGAGACCAAGCTGAGAAGGACAGCTATTGTAACTGATGAAAATATGAGGATCCAAGGGAGATCTGTATATGGCAGGTCCCCAACCCCCGTGCTAGCACATCAAAATTTAACAGGGTTATTTTTATATGTGGGGACAAAAAACAAAACAAAAACAATTTCAGAAGTACAATGTGGAGGAAGGCATGGTTAAGCAGCAATTCTGAAAACAGCGAGTTTTAGTGGATTGCAAACTCAATATGAACCAGAGAGGGAAATGGCAGCCAAAAAAGCTAACGTGATCTTGTGCTGCATAGATCCAGGAATAGGAAAGTGATAATCCCACTGTACTGTACCCTTATTAGACCTCATCTAGAGTACTATGTTCAATTCTAGGTACCAGAGTATAAGGGGTGATCTAAGAGAGAGGCTTCACTTACAAAGAAGAAAATGTATGTTATATCTGGGGCAGCTAGATGATGCAGTGGATAGAGCACTGGGCCTAGAGTAGTCTTCCTGATTTGAAATCTGGCCTCAGACACATACCAGCTGTGTGACCCTGGGAAAGTCATTTAACCCTGTTGTACACAGTTTTCTCATTTGTAAAATGAGCTGGAGAAGGAAATGGCAAACCACTCTAGTATCTTTGCCAAGAAAACCCCAAATGGGGTTATGAAGAGTTAGACATGATTGAAAGGAGACTCAACAACAAAAATGTTCAAATACTGTCTCTGACACTAGCTGTTACCTTGCACAAGTCACTTAACTTCTTTGCCTCAGTTTCCTCATCTGTAAAATGAAGGGGCCTCTATGACTTGTTAGGTACTTTTTAGCTCTGAATCTCTGAGTCTTTTAAAAGTTGTTGATAGTGTCCAGAGGAAGACAACTAGGATAGGCCTAGAGCTCTTGTCATATGAGGTTTTATTCAAGGAACTGGGCATAGATAAGAAAAGACTCCAAGGACATGTGATAATTGTCTTCAAGTGTCTGAAGGACTAATATGTGGACGAGCAGTTAGATTTGTTCTATTTGGCACCAGAAGACATATCCAGGAAAAATGGATGGAAGTTGTAAAGAGGCAAATTTAGGCTGTATTTCAGAAAAAAACTTCCTAACAAGAAAAGCTATCAATAAGTGGAATGGGCTGCCTTGAAAGGTGAAGTGTTCCATAGCCTTGGAGGTCTTTAAGCAGAGGCTAGATGCCCGCTTGTCATGTATTACTACATATTCCTTTAATGTATGAGTTGAACTAAATGGTCACTTCCACCTCTCTGATTACATGATAGTTTAGGTTCCTTCCAGCTTCAAACTATAATTCTATGATTATCAGCTATCATATTTCGTTAATCTCCTCTCCTATCCTAAGATCATCCTGTCCCACAATCTAGGTTCCCCAATGGCATTTGATTCTGAGAAATTTGTTCAAAGTTTTTCTTTTTTCATTATCTCATTCCATTCTACTCTTACCCATTAAACCATATACCTCTATTGTTCAAATAGCTCTTAAAATCATACTTTTACTATGAAATATGACTCTTTTACAGATTAAACAAAAGTAGAAACTATAGATTTTCCTGAACCTATGTCATCTGGTCTTATAAGTCCCAATTAACCTTTGATAAACACATAATGTTAACATTTTTATTTTCCTTTTTCAATCCATATTGTTATTTCTAAATAATATTTGTTAGCTGTTGTCTTATATTCTTCCCATGTAGAATGTTTTCTCAGTGTCATCTTCCTCTTCCAAAATCCATTTCCAGGCACTTTCTCCTCTGATCAAGTATTTGATACCATTCTGATTTCTCCTTCTATTTGTGCAATACTAATTTGTACAGTGAAAGCTAGAATAATGTTGCTAACTTTTTAAATTACTAGAGGGCAAGAATCATATTTTTCCTTTAATACAAATCCTTCAATACAAAACCTAAAATTCCATCACATAAAAAGGGTATTTAATAAATGTGTTTGATAAATAATGTGCTTATTTAAAATAGTAAGCTATAATACAGTTTATGAACCAACAACTTAAAAACATAAATGACTGAAAGAATCTCAGTTATTAATACACTTCAATAAATACTGTGAAGTAGTCTTAAAGATTTTATAGACATGAGAAATTAGGTATGGGTTGATAATTGCCTATAACTACCTGGCTGCCCTTTTCTGGTTAAAAGCACCAAAAAGCTATTCCATTCTTCTAGAAGCCTCCCTTGAGATATCCTGAGTTTCCTTAAAATCATCATTTCCAGCATGGGTATCTTCTATAGGTATCTGATCAGGTACTGTTATTCTTATCAACTTCAAGTTCTTAAATTGCCATTATCAATTTCTCAAGTAGTTCATTGGATTTTTAAAGTAGCAGAATTTACTTTTATCAATAAGACTAGATTATCATAAAAACATGATCAGAATTGTCACATTTTGCTGTTATGTTGTCCTTTTTCTAATTTCTTCTACAAATGTTCCTATGATAATCTGTTTTGCTGGACCTCGTGCCAAGGTTTGTACAAGCTGATTTTCTCAATTGCTTTTCTCCATTTTTGTGAGGTCATATATATCCCATCACCACCGTCCCCCATTTCCTCTACAATGTTTCACAACTGAGTTTTCACTTTAACTTATGTTGCAATTTGCTGCCAGTCTCTTCTCTTAGCAAAGGTATTGTCTGCTGAGTGAGATGGATTCTGAGCTCTTTCAAATAATTAATAGATTAGAAAGTGTTGTGAAAAACTCTCCATAAGAATATGCTTAAAAGATGTGTTGTATTTACTATTGCATAGTACATAGTTTTATAATTAAACTGTCAATAATTAACCTTTGTTAAGGTGGTTGATGTTTGCAAGAAAAAATGATCACCCTGAGAACCCAAAATTGAAAATGTCCAGAAACAGCCAAAATCCACAGCTTCCAGGTCAAAGAAAAAACATTGCAAGAAGCCAGAAAGCAAGCATTCAAGGAAACAGAGCGAGGATCATAAAAGGATAAGCTTCAGTTCTTATAAATGAAAGGAAATCCTGGAATACCACATAACAAAATGTGGAAGAAAAAGGTTTACAATTAAGGAAAACTTATCTGCAAAACTGAATATAATCTCACTGGGGGTAAATGGACTTTTAAAATCCTATCTGAAAGCCAGGATCAAAAAAAGAGCCTAGACATAATCTTTCAAGAAGTTATCAAGGAAAACTGTCCTGATATTCTAGAATGAGAGGGTAAAATAGAAACGGAAAGAATCCACCAGTCACCTCCTGAAAGACATCCCAAGAAGAAAACTCCTAGGAATATTACAGCCAAATTCCAGAGTTCCCAGGTCAAGGCGAAAATATTGCAAGCAGCCAGAAGGAAACAATTCAAGTATTGTGGAAACACAATCAGGATAACACATGATTTAGCAGCTTCTACATTAAGGGACTGGGGGGGCATGGAATATAATATTCCGGAGGGCAAAGGAGACAGGATTACAACCAAGAATCACCTACCCAGCAAAACTGAATGTAATCCTTCAGGTGAAAAAATGGTCATTCAGTGAAATAGAGGACTTTCAAGCATTCTGGATGAAAAGTCCAGAGCTGAATAGAAAAGGTTGAATTGTTTACAATCCTGCATGGAAAGATGATATTTGTAACTCATGAGACCTTTGTCAGTATTAGGGTAGTTGGAAGGAAAAAATATATGTTATGTGTGTATATATGTATATATGTGTATTCATATGTATATATAGATATGTATGTGTGTATATATGTATATGTGTGTACATATGTATATATGTGCATGTATGTGTGGGTATATATACACACACACACACATACACACAGATAGACAGAGATAGAGAGATAGATAGATAGATAGATAGATAGATAGATAGTGGGCACAGAATGAGTTGAAGATGAAGGGGAGATATCCAAAAAATAAAATTAAGGAGTGAGAGAGGATTATACTGGGAGAAAGAGAAAGGGAGAGGTAGAATAGGGTACATTATCTTACATAAAACAGAAAAGAAAAGGCTCTTACAGTGGAGGGGAAACGGGAATGTGAGAGGGAATGAGTGAATCTTATTCTCATCGGATTTGGCTTAAGGAGGGAATAACATACACACTCAATTGGGTATGGAAATCTATCTTACCCTATAGGAAAGTTGGGGGGGGGAAGGTGACAAGAGAGCAGGGGGATGATAGAGGGGAAGGCAGATTGGGGGAGGGGTAATCAGAAGCAAACACTTCTGAGGAGGGACAGGGTCAAAAGAGAGAATAGAATAAATGGGGGGTGGGATAGGAGGAAGGGAAATACAGTTAGTTTTTTACAACATGACCACTATGGAAGTGTTTTGCATGACTGCACATATATAACCTGTATTGAGTTGCTTGCTTTTTCAATGAGAGTAGGTGGGGAGGGAGGAAGGGAGAAAATTTGGAACCCAAAGTTTTAAAAACACATGTTAAAAAAAATTGTTTTCACACGCAACTGGGAAATAAGAAATACAGGAAATGGGGTATAGAAATCTATCCTGCCCTACAGGAAAATTGAAGGGGAAGGGGAGGGGGGGAGATAGAAGGGAGTACAGATTAGGGGAAGGGGTATTCAGAATGCATGCCATCTTGGGTTGGGAGGAGGGGTGAAATGGGGAGAAAATTTGGAACTCAAAATTTTGTGGAAGTGAATGTTGAAAACTAAAAATAAATAAATTTAAAAAAAGAAAAAGAAAAAAGAAAGAAAAAAGAACTTATAAGTATCACTAAAGAGCAGATCTGAGTTGAATTTTTGAAACAAAAACACAAGATAAGACAAATTTAGAATGTTAAACACACTTGAGCATCCAGAAGGGAAAAAATGATGATCAAGTGCTTACATTATAATATGTGGAGAAGACAAAGGTATCTGCGCAAAATCCCAAGGGTCTAAAAGTGGTTAGGTTCTATTTTGTTGTTTTTAGGAAAGGAAAGAAAAGGAAGGGAAAAGTTAATAAAATGTTAATGAAAGATATAAAGAAAGGGCAGCAATTTAACTCTTACTCATAACTGGGATTAATCATGCAAGTAATATTCATTAAGTGCCTACTATGTGCCAGGTGCTGTGTTAAAGCACACAGGTACTATACTAAATGTGGTGTTACAAAGAAAAACGAAAACAAAACAAAAAGTCAGGCCTTGCTCTGAAGCTCTCATAAAAAGAGTAAAAAACCATGGAGGTGGAACTGGGGAAATTAGGCATCTCATGAACTGTTTGGGCAAAGAAGGGTTGAAAACACACACACACAAAAGTTTACAAGGAAGAAAAGCAAATGACCATGAAAAGTGAATGGCAAAACAGAAATTGAAGAGAACAGATAGATCCATGGAGGCAAAATAAACTTCAACTATGGAAAATGAATCATAAAGGGGGATTAAATAGTAAGAGGATATAAAAATCAGGGAGGAGGTCAAATTGAGTGAAGAAAGGAGGGGCAAGGGAATGAAATGAGACCACTTCAATTAGGGATTACTAATATCAATCCCATTCTGTTTCCTTTTCCACCCTTTGCTCTTTGTAAAGTTGGGGTGGGGGAGGCAAGAGACAACTGTAAGAGGAAATAATGGAAGGAAAGACACAATAAAAATCATAACCATGAACTTATCCATAAAATAGAAGGTAGCAGAATAGATTAGAAAGCAGATTTCAACAATATGTTGTTTACAAGAAACAGACTTGAAGCATAAAGATATACAATGACTGAATTAAACTGAGGAGCTGGAAGAGAATTTATTATAGCATATCAATCTAAAAATGTTTGCAGAGGTGTCAATCATCATCTCAGACAAGGAAACAGTGAAAATGGACATGGTTACAAAAGATAAAAGCAAGGAAGCTACATTATGCTTAAAGGCATTATAAATAATGAAATACTATCAATATTTAGAATGCATAAACTGAATGGCATATCATTTACGTACTTTCAGGAAAAGCCAACCAAACTATAGGGAGAAATATATAACAAAACTATAATAACTGAGGACCTCAATGTGTCCCATTCAGAAATAGAAAAATATAATAAAAAGACCGCAAAAAAGGAAGGCAAGGACCTTTTAAAAGTTAGGTATGTTGTATCTTGGCAATTAGTGAATAAGGATCAATGAATAATATCTCCTACTTTCCCCAAGTCTCTTGACAAAAAAGTGGTACTTTCTGCCAAAGTAACTTCTTTACAATTGTACTTGATCCTATCCCCTTCCATTTTCTCTAGCAGAATACAGCCTAAATCATTCCCTGTCTCTCTCAAATCTTCAAGCTCTCTCCTTCTACTAGTTTCCTGCCTATCATATAAATATGCCCATGTCTTTTCCATCTTTAAAAAAACCTTCACTAAACTATACCATACCCTTAAATGTTATCTCTCTCTTTCACATCTCAGCCAAATTCCTTGAAAAAGTCATCTATACACATTACCTACACTTCTCAATTCTGTGTGGTCAAACTCTTCCCTTCTAATTGGTATCTGTGACTCAAGTCTCTGGCCTCTCTAATTCCTCCTCCTCATGTACTTTATGATCTAGCCAAACTGACCTTCTCCCTATTCCTCATATAGGACATACTACTTCCAGTTTCTATGACTTTGCAATGGCTGTAAAACTGAAAGTGGAAAAACAGGTTGGGTGCTAAGCTGGGAAGGGCTTTAAAACTAAATGGAGATTATATCTGATCTAAGAAGCAACAGGAAGAGCAATTGGAATAGAGCAGGGGAGTCTCGTGTTCAAATCTTCAGTTAAGGAATATCACTTCAACAGCAATATGCAGGATGGACTACAATGGTGAAAGACTTGGGGCAAGGAAATCCATTAGGAGGCTACTGTAGTCATCCAAGCAAGAGGTGATGAGGACCTGACCTCTGATGATAAAGAGCTTTATGAGTACAGAGAAGGGATCACATGAGAGATACTATAAAAGTGGAAACAGTAGTACATAGTAATTGAATGTATAGGATATGAGGTGTGAGGGAGAGTGAGGGGTTAAGGATAATGTTGAGATAATTATTAACGGGGAAACTGGAAGAATGTTGGCATCTTTGACAGAAATAGGGAAGTTTGGAAGAGGGCTGGGATTGTGGGGGAAAATAATAAATTCTGTTTTTAGTATACTGATTTTAAGATGTCACAAGAACATGCAGTTAGAAACGTTCAATAAGCGGTTGTGACATCAGATTGAAATTCATGAGACGGGGCCTGAATACACAGCTCTGTGAATCATCAAAATAGAGATAAACTGAGGTAATTAAGAGAGAGTGTACAGAATAAGAGAAAAAAGCTTAGGACAGAGACTTGGAGACAACCCACAGTTAGGGAGTGATTCAAAGAAGGAGCAATCAGACAGGTAGGATGAGAACTAAAAGAAGAAAGCCTTCAGTGAATATCTATATATCCTTTGTGAAGGACTTACAATGAATAAGAATCACATGAGATGAGAAGGCATAGAGGTGTTTCAATCTCCATCCATGAAGAAGTAAATTATTGATCCAGTAAGGTGATTTTATTCTTGCCATTACTTTTGCATTTAATAAATCAAAGCATATCTTAGTATCACATTTCAGTTAACAGTTCATCTAGTCCAGGGATTCTTTCACAAATCTGTTTTCTTTTTAATATTTTGACAACTGTATTATTTCAATTTAATTGGTTTCCTTAGTAATCTTATGTATTTTATTTTATGCATTTAAAAATATTACTCTGACAATGAGTCCATAAGCTTCACCAGAATGAAAAAGGAATCCTCGACACAAAAAAAAGGTTAAAACCCTTAATCTAGTCCAGTGCTCTAATTTTATAGGTAAGAAAACTGAGGCCCAAAGAGCCTAAGTAATGCACAATGTCACAACGAGAGTGAATGATAAAACTGGATTTGATTACAGTTCCTCCAATTACACTTTATTGCCTCTTACATCCAAGTTTCAACATCAATTTTTAACATTAACATGCAAAATTAGTATCTTAAATTTAATAAAATCCACATTAAATACACATTACCTGCCTTTTCTTTGGATAGCACTGGCTTTTGAAATCCACACCATTTTTAGCATCGTAACGTAATTCAGGGCATCAAAGGATTTCTGCAATATTTAGTTCAATTCAAATACAAAAGCATGAAAATCCTTTAACAAGGAATAGTAAAGAGTTTTATTACTATATGTTAATACATAATCCTTACTATCTCTCAGAAATAGTAATGGAAGGGAGTAATATAATAAATAATCCAAAATTCTTTTCTAATGAGCACCATTGTGAACAATTCCACTCAGGAAAACCATAGTTACAATGCTGAATTGCTTGGTGATCTATTTTGGTGAAAGAATTTTATCATTTCTCATAATTGTTGCATAATGCCCTAGACTAACAATTCCCCTTTATAAATTTACTTTTTGGTGGATTACATTTTCCCGGAGAGTACAGAGAAAAAGGTCTAAGGATTTGGTTCATGTTTATTTGAAATACTTTTCTTTGTGGCTAGGGCATGTTAGGAAGAATGAAAACAATCCTTATTGACCAGATCCCTTCCCCAGAATGAAGAATTCAAACTTCCTTCTCTTCTAGCCTTTGCTAGGCTTCTAGTGCAACAGATCAACACAAGATACAAAAACAAATAGGATCACAACATCAAAATACAGTAAACACTACTCCACAGTGGTCATAAACCTTCAAAGTTCCTCAAATTACAATTAACTGCAGAGATACAAGCTATTTCCAAGGCATGGATTCTAAACTACAACATGGCCCAGTGGAAAAAACATTAGAATTAGAAGGAAGAAGCATTTTTTTGTGCCTACTATGTGCCAGAAAATGTGCTAAGCCTTTTACAAATAATATCCCATTTGATACTGACAACAGCCTTGCAAGGTAATTTTATAGTCGAGAAAACTGAAGCAAAAAGAGGTTAAGACTTCTCCAGGGTCACATAGTAAAAGTATCTGAGGCTGGATTTAAACTTAGGTCTTCATAAACAAAGGCCCAGCACTCCATCCACTGAGCCACCTACTCTGCCTCAAATTAGAGTCAGAAAGCAGAATCTGAATCCTACAGCACTTCACCAGACAAAAAGTGGCTAGCCTTCACTGCCTTTCACTCCACCTTGGACCATACAGAGATTCTAAGCCTCTTTAAAAAATGTATTATATATTCTCTTTTTTAAAAAATTTTTTTAGGTTTTCTTTTTTTCCCAATTTATTTTTAGTCTTCAACATTAACTTCCACAAGATTCTGAGTTCCAAATTTTCTCCCCATCTTGTCCCTCTCCCCACCCCAAGACGGCGTGCATTCTGAATACCACTTTCCCTAATCGGCCCTCTCTTCTATCTCCCCCCCCTTCTCTCATCCCCTTCTTCTTCTATTTTCCTGTAGGGCAGGATAGATTTCTATACCGCACTGCCTGTATAACTTTACACTCCCTTACAGTAGAGTTGTATTTGTCTATGCCTTAAATCTCCTTTAGATCAAAAGATCTATGAGGAAAACAACTATGTTTATGTTATCTCTGGATTTCCCTCACAGAATGTTCTGAATTGAATTTGCTGAATTTGTATAAAGCACTCTATAATCATAGCATATAAATGTAAGCTATCATCATTTTTACATCAATTGGCTTATAGCTTGCTTATAAGAAAAAACTTATAGCTTTTTCATTTGTATAACATTTTATATAATAAGGGAAAAAGTTTCCATAATATAGTTTAAATAAAATTTTTTGTAAAGGCATTGCTTACATAATACAAGAGAATGAAACATTTCCTGCTTGTTCACTTCATACACAGAAATATATTATAAATTTTTGTTGTTCTTCCTGAGACGTTTCACTCACGTCCAACCCTATGTGACTCCATTTTGGGGTTTTCTTGGCAAAGATACTGGAGTGCTTTGCCATTTCTTTCTCCAGCTCATTTTACAGATGAGGAACTCAGGCAAACAGGATAAAATCACTTGCTCAAGGTCACACTGCTAAAAAGTGTCTAAGGCTGGATTTGAACTCATAAAGATAAGTCTTCCTGATTCCAAGCCCAGTGCTCTATCCACTATAATACATAACTGTGCTTATGTTATTAATACATAATATTAATATAGCAGTCTTTAAACCCAGGACGTTTAAAATTTTCCTAAGTAATTTCTAAATATTTTCGTAACCGGTATAGAAAAAGGAGGGGCAACATGGGACAGTGGAATAAGTGCTAAATTTGGAGTCACTGGATCTGGGTTCAAATTCCAGGTATATCCTTTACTACCTGACCTTGGGCAAGTCATTTCACCTCTGAGACTGTTCCCTCTTTAGCAAAATGAGGAAACTGGATTATTAACCTCTAAGGTACCTTTCAGTTCTAACCTATGAGTCTAATCTAGGATCTAGGATCCTTTACTTACAAAAATATATTAAAACAATTTAAGGGATCTAATTGGTTACCAATAATATTTCATCTATAATAGCTTAATTTTCTTTTCTTAGCAGACAAAATCATTATAAGATAATAGAATTTGCATTTTTTGTAATTTTAATCCTGTTACAGTAAATTTCAGAAAACTGCCCAAATTCTTTCACATTAGAATTGTTCTAATATTTCTAAAGATTAGTTCCTCAAAGTATCCAAAAATTGAAAGAAAATAATCTTAATGAAGCTTAATTATGCCCTCTAGTGTACAGATTCAATATAGACTTTTTCAATGACATGGAAAACTTTTCTACAATAATCAATTGTTTCTACTACTGTTTAATTGAGAAACATTCCTGTAGTTTTCATTAATTGTCAGATTTTTTTTCTATTGAGTTTTCCATACAATATGAAAATTGCCACTATATGGAAAGAGCGAACTGGGAAGATAAAGTTTCATTTGTTTTTTTGGTTCTTTTAAGAAAAAGAAGGCTGTTACTTCTAGTAACCCACCTAGAAAACTTCATTACCTTCGTTACCATTTGTCATTGTCCAAATGAAAAGTTTCCACAACTAAATAATATCCTTACTTTTCTCCTTACACAATACTAAACAATTAGATGTCAATCTCTCCCCCCACCCATATTAGCAAATGACTATTAATGTACAATTAAAAGAGATAAGAATTCATTGTATTTAAGTATTTATGGTAGGAAATTCTGCTCTGAGATGAGCAAATTGCTATTACAATGGGTCAATATCTGTGACCAAGAAAATTTTTATTATAGTGAATTCTGGTTGTAAGAATATCCATTAGGTTCAGATTTGATCTATTACTTTATTCATGATCTAAGTGGTGAAGTGATTCACCATCAATCAACAAGCATTTATTAAGTGTCCATTTCGTACCAAGGGCAGCTAGGTGTCACAGTGGATATACTACTGGGTCTGAAGTCAGGAAGATTCATCTTCCTTAGTTCAAATCTGGCCTCAGACACTTACTAGATGTGTGATTCTGGGCAAGTCACTTCACTTTGTTTGCCTCAGTTTCCTCATCTGTAAAATGAGCTGAAGAAGGAAATGGCAAACCACTCTAGTATCTTTGCCAAGAAAACCCCAAATGGGGTCCTAAAGAGTTGGACAAGACTGAAACTACCGAACAACAACAAAAATTTGTACCAAACATTTTATTAAGTGCTAGAGATCTAAAGACAAAAGCAAAATAGTCCCTGTCCTTCAGGAGTGAACATTCTAACAGGGGGGAAAACATATACATATATGGGTATATACAAGATACATGTGAAATAGGCATTTAGTAAACTTAAGAGAGGAAGGCACCAGCAACTGAAGGGACCAAAAAAGGAACAAAAGGTTTCAAGTGAGTCTGTAGAAGGAAAAGAGGGATTTCCAGAGGCAGAGATGAAGATGGAATAGGAAACATCCAGTACAAGGGCACAAGGAGGGAAGATGGAGCATCATGTGTGAGGATCAGCAAGTATGCCAGACCACAGAGTGTCTGCAGGGAAGTAATGTAGAAAAAGACTGAAAGGTCAGTTGGAAATGGGTTGTGAAGAGCTTTTATCCATTTGTTAAATGCAAACAGAGTTGTTTATATTTGATCCTAGGAGTAAGAGAGAGTCACTGGACTTTACTGAATAGGGAGGAGTTATGGTCAAATGTGTGCTTTAAGAAAATAACTTTTGTTGCTTTTGTGGAAGACAGAATGCAATAGGGAGAGATTTAGATAAGACTAATTTGTTGTGGTTTAGTTGTTTCAGTTGAGGCAAACAGGGTTAAGTGACTTGCCCATGGTCACATAGCTAGTAAGTATCTGGGGCCAGACATGAACTTGGGAAGAAGAGTATTCCTGCTTCCAGGGCCAGCACTCTATCCACCGTGCCACTTAGCTACCCTAACACTAACTAATAGACTACTGCAATATAGTACTGGCAAGAGATGATGAGGGCCTAAACTAAGATGTGGTGCTGTGAGTAGAGATGGGAAGGTGTGAGAGATGTTCTGAAGACAGAAACAACAAAATTTGAAACTGACTAGATATGTGGGGTGAGTCACAGTGAAGAATCAAGGATGACACCAAAGTTATGAACCTGAGTAAATGGTTGTATTCATCCTTGACAATAGTAGGAAGTTTAAAATACTAGAGTTTAAGGGAAAATCTAATGAGTTGTTTTGGACAAACATGCAACACAAAACATACAACAGGCAACTGGTGATATAAATATGACTGTCATATGCACAAATGATAACTACATACATGGGAGCTAATAACAACAAAAAAACATACCTCTTTCACCTTGCCAGAATCAATAACAAAGACAACATCATTGACTGTAATGCTGGTTTCTGCAATATTGGTAGAAAGGATCTGCAATAAGAATATTATTTTTAAAGTAATGCTAGAAATAGAAAAAAATAAATAAGAATGGAAATGAAAATTTACATCATACTTACTATTTTCCGAATACCCAAGGGTGGATTTTTTAGTACCTTTTTTTGATCAGATGTTTGCATGTTTGAATGAAGCATAAAGACTTGATACCTATGGGCAACAAAAAGAGACAGTGTAACAGTACATTAAATAAGATTAACAATGAACTAAATAAGAAAACTTCAGCTTTACTCAGATAAATCACTTCACCTTTCTTGGCTTCAATTTCCTCTCATCTATAAAATACATGGCTTGAACTAGATAATCTCTAAGGGCCATTCCAATCCTAAAATTCTATGATTCTACCTATGTGCATTATCTGCAAAACGCTTGTCATCAAACAGAATGCGATCCCTCAGTCCAACAATTTCATCATATCCAGGCAGGAAAATTAAGATTGCTCCTATGGGAAGAATAAAGAAAAAAAGTTCAACAAAACTTAATACAACTTCAATCAAACAAGAAATATTTACCAAAGGTCTATCATATGAAACAACCAAAGGATATCCGATTTGTAATACTAAAATAATTTTTGGGACTATTCATGCATTATTATATATAACTTCACATAAATAATTTGGAAAAACAAGAATCACCTTAAAATAGAATTATTTTATTTCCTTAAGTTTAACATATAGTACATATTTACCAGCATCACAGCTATGGCAGATGTTATAGAGAAGGTGCATGATCAAATCCAAGTCCACTTTTTCATCATCAAAGCTGTGATGATATGCTTTCAATAATTCTCTGTCTTCTGCACTGAGATCACTTCCATTTGCTTGGACTAAGGAACTTTCATCTAGATTTCCAAACTCTAACGAAGCACTTAAAAAGCAAACAGAATTAAAAAAAAAGCTAATTTCTCACAAAAAAGCAAATTTCAAAAGTCAGTACTCTCTCAACATTGTATTACAATTTTATTTCACCTACTACCATACTGTTCAATAGATGGTATATTCACATAACCTGATGATAACTGCTGTCTAGGGTTTCAAAGGCACTTGAAGTCCCCTTAAAGAAACATGGCATAGAAGATACGGTTACAGCTTGGAGTCAGGAAATCCTGAGTTCAAATTCTGTCTCCAACTCTTAATAGCTGTGAAATCATGAGACAGTCACTTAACTTCTCTGAACTTGAGTTTCCTTGTCACTAAAAATGGAGACAATATCTGTAGTAACAAATACATGTTAGGCTCAGATACATAATGTATGTAAGGCACTTTGCAAACCTAAAAGCGTTAAAAGCCAGGCTTTTTGTACAAAAAGCGACACCAACTATTACTGCCACTTTAAGGTGTGATAAAATCAGTATTTGTTTTAAATAGGCTGTGCTGCTGATTTCTCTTTAAAGTGGCAAGGAAGCTGACCATAGAACTTGACGACATCAGTAGGGCTTGCCAAGAAAACCTTAAATGGGGTCACAGAGAGGCAGATACGACTGAATAACAACTTTTAATAATGCAATATGTAATGATAGGATGTTCTTTCTTGTTAAAAAATAAAATTATATACTTATTTTAAAAAATTGACAAAACTAAGAGTAAAAGAAATTTAATTAAACTTTGACATGATTTTGTAAAAAAAAAGTAATGGACATTCACTAAAAGACAATTAAAATGATTTAGTTTGCTAAATAGTTGTTTGTTTTTTAATTAAGAAGGTGATCTAAATTAAAGTTTCTCTAGTGGCAAATAAATGCCAGTTCTGTGCCTTTTTTTCCTGCTTTCCTTCTGATTTTGCAGTAAAATGATTTGTTGAAATAGCTGTAAGGTAGTGGAAAGAATACTGGACTTGGAGTCAGAAGACCCGAGTTCAAATTTTGCTTCTCACCCTTAACTGACTACATTATCCTAAGTAAATAATTTAATTTCTCTGAGTCTTAATTTTCTTATTTGCAAAATGAGAATGATAATATCACACCTCCAGTTCCAAAGAGCTGTCATGAGGAAAGTGCTTTGTAAACCTTAAAGTGATATAAAAATGTGAATCATAACACAGTCTCCACACTGTTGAAATCGCAGGAGCAGACCAAAAAAAAAATCATTATTAGAAAAGTATTTTCATTTAATTGACAGTGTTGGCAGTGGTTTTAATAGGATGAAAAAAGAGACATTTGTTTTGTAAATTTTTGAGTTCCAAATTTTGTCCCTCTCCCACACCCCCCCCCCCGAGAAGGCAAGCAATATGATATCAATTATAAATGTGTAGACATAAAAAACATTTCCATATTAGTCATGCTGCAAAAGAAAATTCACACCCAAAAAAAATTATAAAGATAGAAAAAATGGATGCTTCTATTGGCATTCAGACTCTATCAGTTCTTTCTCTGGAGGTGGATAACATTTTTCATCATAAGTCCTTTAGAATTGTCTTGGATCATTGTATAGTTGAGAACAGCTAAGTCTTTCACAGTTGAACATCCTTACAATATTGTGGTTACTGTCTGCAATGTTCTGGTTCTGCTCATTTCATTTTGTAACAGTTCATGTAAATCTTCCCAGGTTTTTCCTGAAAGCATCCTACTTGTATTTCTTATAGCACAATACATTCCACCACAATCATGTACACAACTTGTTCAGCAATTCCCCAACTGATGGATATCCCTTCAATTTCCAATTCTTTGCCATCACAAAAAGAGCTGCTATAAATATCTTTGCCCTTTTCCTTTTCCTTTGATCTCTTTAGGGTATAGGAATGTCTATTACTTTGGCCCACATATGCTACCACGAGGGCATAAACTACAAGATGGCAATAACAGAAAGAAATACACTACATAGACCAAAATATTCATAGCAGGATTTTTTTTGGTAGCAAAGAACTGAAGACAAAACAGGAGCATATTGGTTGGAGAATGACTAGGGAAACTAATTTAATAGCCCATTAATGCACTGTAAGAAAAACCAAACAAAAAATTCAAAGAAATATGGAAAGCCCTAAATGAACTGACAGCAAAGTAAATAAAATCAGGGAAACAACATACAAATGACTACAACATAAACAAAAAGAACAAACAAAACTGAACAATGAATAACTAAAATGATCAAGTATGGACCCGAAAAAGAGTAAAAAAAAAAATCTTTCTTTCACTGAAAAAAGAGGGTTATAAGTACAGAAAATTCCATATAATGTCAGACAAAAATAGTATGTGAGTTGATCTGTTTTTTCCCCCTCTTCTTTAAACCTCTTTTTACAAGACAGAGCTTGTTAGGCAGAGGAGTAAAAGAACAACACATTTGGGAAATGTGATATAAAAACAAAAGCAATCAGTCAATAAAAATAATTATTTTTTAAAAAAGCTTATCAAATAATTCTCAGTAAGTTTGTTTTTAATTTACTTTTTTGCTTTATTTACTTTTCAAGGTGCATGAATTTCCTTAAGTAATGGTCAAGACTTGTACAAATAAAATGAGTTGTTCAGTTGCCATATGGCAATTCAAACAGTACTTTTATACCTCCTTCGTTTGAACACCTAGAGAATCTGAAAACGAACACCATGAAAAATACATGAGCTTTCAGAATGCTCATGATGCACAATCAACTATTGGACCCTTGATGATTCTATACCTTTGTTTTTTGTTCTTGGAAGGTGATTAATCCAAAACTTAACTACACTGATTCACATCCTTTCCTCCAAACTAGGCTAGAATTGATGGGATAAACTGGGCAGAAGTAAAAGTACACTAGAATAAGCCTAAAGAAATATTTTAAACTACTAGGTGCTCCAGATTTTATAGCAAGTTGATGTGAATTTCCTATAATGGTGCTTCAGGTGTCTCTATCTAAATCTAGGACAATGTGATCTTTCCCGGTTTAGTTAATGGCTCTGCTAATAATTAGTACTAAATTAGGACACCCTATTGCCCATTCTAAAACCATAGTAACACTACCAACTGTAGTTTTCAAGTTTTACTTTATCCAATAAATTTACTATGTTAAAAGAAAAAAAAATCTAATTCAAAAGCATTCCATTCCATTCCATTCCATAAGTAAGATCATTTGGTTAAGAGTTTCACTTATTTTTAAATAATAGATATCCTATGTTAATTACAAACAATTTTCCCTCTAATTTTCTTTGACAAGATTCTTGTAGACTTAGAAAGCAAAGTCAAGATGGCAAAGTAAGGCAGGAACTTGCCAGAACTTCCCCAAATTTCCCTCCAAACAATTTTACAGTAATACCTCAAAATGAATTTTGGAGTTGCAGAAAGGGGCAAATGAAACAATTTTCCAGCTTTATACAACTTAGAATATCAACAGAAAAGGTCTATCTCAATGAGGTATGAGTGGAGTGCAATTCAGTGCAGGCAGTGAAAGCAAGCCAGCAGCAGCCTATGCCCCAGCAAGAAAGCAGCAAGGTCCCCCCTCCCTTGTATGAGGCAGCAGTGAGGCCCTCTACCCAGCCAGTATGGGCCTTGGTATGTGGCCCTAAAAAAAATCCCCAGGGCCAGATGGATTCAAAAGTGAATTCTACCAACCATTTAAAGTATAATTAATTCTAATACTACATAAACTATTTGGAAAAATAGGCAAAAAAGGAGTTCTACCAAATTCTTTTTATGGCACAAATATGGTGCTGATACCTAAACCAGGAAGAGTTAAAACAGAAAGAAAACTATAGACCAATTTCTCTAATGAATATTGATATGAAAAAAATTTAAAAATACTAGGAAGAAGATTACAGCAATGTATCATAAGAATCATACACTATGACCAAGTGGGATTTATACCAGGAATGCAAGGCTGGTTCAACATTAGGAAACCTATCAGTATAACTGACCATATCAATAACAAAACCAACAGCAATAATATAATTATTTCAATATATACAAAAAGCTTTTGACAAAATACAACACCCATTCCTATTAAGAACACCAGAAAGCATAAATATAAATGGAGCTTTCCTTAAAATAACAAGTAGTATCCTCCTAAAACCATCAGCAAGTGTTATCTGTCAAAGCTAGTAGCCTTCCTAATAACATCAGGGGTGAAGCAAGGATGCCCATTATCAACACTATTATATAATATAGGACTAAAAATGCTAGCTACAGCAATAAGAGAAGAAAAAAGAAATTTAAAGAATTAGAATAGGCAATGAGGAAAGAAAATTATCACTACTTGCATATGATATGAGGGTATATTTAGAGAATTCTAGAGGATCAACTAAAAAACTACTTAAAATAATTAACTTTAGCAAAGCTGAAGGATATAAAATAAACCCACATAAGTCATTAGCATTTCTACATATTACCAACAAAACCCAGCAGCAAGAGACAGAAAGAGGAATATTCCATTTAAAATAACCGTAGACAACATAAAATACTTGGGAGTCTACCTTTCAAGACAAACCCAGGAATGATATGACCATAATTACAAAATAGTTTTCACAAAAATAAAGTCACATCCCAACAATTTAAAAAATATTAATTGCATATTAGTAGACCAAGGCAATGTAATAAAAATGACAATTCTACCTAAATTAATCTACTTATTCAGTGTCATACAAATCTAACTACCAAAAAATTATTTTATAGAGCTAGAAACAATATTGACAGAATTCATTTGGAAGAACAAAAGATCAAGAATATTAATGGAATCAATGAAAAAAAAATGTGAAGGAAGGTGGCCGAGCCATATCAGACCTCAAACTGTATAAAGTGGTAATCATCAAAACAATCTGGTACTGGCTAAGAAATGGAGTGGTGGATCTGTGGCATAGATTAGGCACACAATACACAGTAATAAATGACCATAGTAATCTAGTGTTTGATAAACCCAAAGACCCAAGATTTTGGGACAAGAACTCACTATTTGGCAAAAACTGTTAGGAAAACTGGAAAAGTTTGGCAGTAACTAGATAAAGACCAACATCTCACATCATGTATCAAGATAAGGTCAAAATGAGCACATGATTTTTAGACATAAAGGATAAATTAGGAAAGCATGGAATAATTTACCTGTTAGACCTATGGATAGGGGAAGAATTTATGACCAAATAAGAGAAAGAGCACTGTAAGATAAAAAATGGATAATTTTGGTTATTTTATATTAAAAATATTTTACACAAGCAAACCAATGAAGCTAAGATTAGAAGGAAAGCAGAAAGCTGAGGGAAAAATTTTTTAACAGCAAGTGTTTCTGATAAAGGCCTCTTTTCTCATATATATAGAGAATTGAGTAAAATTTATAAGAATACAAGTCATTCCCCAACTGATAAATGGTTAAATGATATGAACAAGCAGTTTTCAGAAAAAAATCAAAGCTACATCTAGTCACATGAAAAAATGCTCTAAATTACTACTGATGAGAGAAATGCAAATTAAAACAACTCTGAGGTACCACCTCACACCTATAAGACTGGCTAATATGACAGAAAAGGAAAATGAAAAATGTTGGAGGGGATTTGGGAAAACTGGGATACTCATGCACTGTTGGTAGAGTTGTGAACTAAAACAACCATTGTGAACTACACTCAAAGGGCAATAAAACTGTGCATACCCATTGGCCCAGCAATACCATTACTAAGGCTGCATCCCAAAGAGATTAAAAAAAAAAAAGGAAAAGGAAAAGGGCCTATACGTACAAAAATATTTATAGCAGCTCTTTTTTTGTGGTGGAAATGAACTGGAAATTGAGGGAATGTCCATCAGTTGGGGAATAACTGAACAAGCGATACATGACTGTGATGGAATATTATTGTGTTAAGAAATATTAAAAACCTGAAAAGACTTATATGAGCCGATGCAAAGTGAAGTGAGCAGAACCAGGAGAACACTATACACAGTAGCAGCAAGATTCATGATGAAAAACATTATCCACCTCTAGAAAAAGAAATGATGGTGTCTGAATGCAGATCAAAGCATACTATTTTTCTCTTTATTTTTTCATGGGTTTTCTTTTGGTCTGTGTTTCCTTTCACAACATAACTAATATGGAAATGTGTTTCAAATGATTGTACATGTGTAACCTATATCAAATTGCTTACTGCCCCATGGTGGGGGAAGGGATGGGAGGGAGGAAGAGAATTTGGAACTCAAAATTTGTTTTTTAAAAAATGAATGTTAAAAATTGTTTTACATGCAATTGGGAAAAAATAAAATATTAAAAAATTCTTGTGTTAGGGGAAAATAAGTGAAGATAGGGGAATTTATTTTTTAAAAAACTTTAAAATGGTAATAAAATTGTTTTAAAAATTATGAAAACATCCATTCATTTCATTACAATTAAAAACTTAAGGTCCCTACTCTTCTGATTTTTCAGTTTATTAATAAAACTATGCCAAATCCTATTGAATCTTAGTTATCTAGTGTCATTACATTCCAACAAAAATGACAAAACATCTTTAATAGAATATTATATTCTATTATATAGACATTTGCCTCAATTTTATTATAGTATATGATCTTAAAACAAAAATCTCTGAAATAAATATGTATATGTATATATACATGTGTATATGTATGAAATATCTCTAAAGCAAAAACATCACCTTACCTGTAAGACTCCAGAAGGTCTACAATCTCAGTCTGTCCAAAGTGTTTAGCCCAATCTAAAGCCATCCTGCCAAAATTTCAAAGACTCAGTCTAAGATGAACTTTTCTTTAAATTACCATCCAAAAACATGCAATAGTTTATTATTCATCTATCAAAATGCAGGTGAAAGGAGCTTTTAGTATAAAAGTACAATTAAATTAATAGACATAAAAATACACATAACTGAGGTTTAAAAAAATTACCAGCCATTTGATGCTTTGCTATGGACATTGGCTCCCATACTAATTAACTGTTCTACTTGACTCAAAAAACCTCTTCCTGCAGCAACCATTAGTGCTGTTGCACTGGTTTCGCTGTGTCTGTAATCCACTAACAAAAAAGAAAGTAATAAAAACAATATTTATAAGAATATTTTTCAAACTATCATAGGAAATAAATCACATATTACAAATTTAAGTTTTTATTCAACTGTTATATTTAAATGCCTTCAATTCCAGAAACTAGATGCTTACCTGCTACTAAAAATGTAAAAACCTAAAAACATTTTTAAAAAATATTAGCCATACTTTTAAATGAGAACTTGAAATAATTATATAGTGAGAGTATTATAACAGTATTTTTTTCTTCATAAAAACCCAGTCTCAAGCAGGTCAACCATGAAGATCTTTGCTCTTATCTCACCCTAGACACAGATAAAATTAGAGAAAGGACTCTGCTACATGAAAGAATGATCAAGTAGAGGTAACAGTTAAATTTTTAAATGAAGAACAGTAATATTTTAAATCGGTAACATTGTTGAAAAGGAATTAACACTGAAAGGTTATCATCTCCTAAGTCACATGAATTATTTTCCTCAGCCTAGACTCCTTCTTGATCACAAAATGATAACATAAATTATAAAGAGGACTCTGGATACAAAGATCAGGAAAATGCAAACTTATTTTTATCAGTGAATGATGACAGGTTCAGAAATCTATTAATTCAAAGTATTATTCATAAAAAATGATAAACTATGAAATGAGTTTCCCATGTCATTTGAATAGAATTGCATCATTTGTAAAAATGTTATTTCCTATAAAAATCTCTCTGTGAGGAAAACTCTGATAAGTTAAAAATTTTCTACAATGCATTTCTCAGGGACTTTAATAAATCATTGCTTCTCAAAATAATTTACTCTTATTGAAAAATCAAAATTAAATGGGTAATTTCTGAAAAGAATTTATTATAGAAAACAAAACAGACTGATAAAAGTTGATGTATATTACTACTTATACCTATGACTGAATTATCTGTTAGGAAATCATTTGATCATTTCCAAATACATACTGAATGACAATACACACACAAACACACACACACACATTTGTGTGTATGTATGTATGTATGTATGTATGTATACATGTGTATATGTATTGGTATACATGATATATATAGGTATATGAAGAACTCACATACCTATACATACATATATAATATGTAATATTGTTACACTGTAATGTAGTGTTATATTATACATGTAAACATATTTGTGTACACATGTGTAATATGTACATGTAAATACATATGCTACATGTATAATGTATCATATTGTACACATTATATTATACATATAGTTTAGCACATATATACAACATATATAATGTATAAAACGTATATAACATTATGTATATATAATAAAACAAGATGGTTGATCCCAGTGATTCCCAAATTTCCATAAAACTGCATGTTCCCACCCTATTACACAAAATAACAACTTCAACTTCTCTTCTCTTTCAAGTGACTTGTCTCCATTAAGCCCATCTTTAATCTTTGGTGAGCACAGCAAGAAGGAGAATAAAGAAGTCTATGGAAAAAGAAGGAAGGAGAATAAAAATGCCTCCGGAAAGAAGGTATTCTGACCAAAAGGAAAAAAAAAACTAGGAAAAAATATAAAACGTGGGGAGGAGGGGGATTTATAGAAAAGTAGAAATAGAAATAAAATATAATTCAAAAGTCAACTAGAGGGGCAGCTAGGTGGCACAGTGGATAGAGTACCAGCCCTGAAGTCAAGAGGACCCGAGTTCAAATCTGGCCTCAGACCAAACACTTGACACTTACTAGCTGTGTGACCCTGGGCAAGTTACTTAACCCCAATTGCCTAAAAATGGAACAAAAATTAAAAAAAAAAAGCCAACTAGAATAATGTTTATTTTTATAAGATTGGTAGAGGTTCAGCTATTGTGGTGCTTGACCACTGGATATTTAGACAAGAGTTCCTAAATTTGATGTATATTAGATACATGACAATGGCATGTTATTTAACTTATCAGAAGGTTGTTCCTTCTGCCCCATCTTAGTAATTCCACAAAGTTGTAATGAGGAAAAATTTGATAATGTATGTAAAATGTTTTGTAAACCTGAAAACATTACATAGAAAGTTTAATAACTAAATATTAGCCCTTACTATTTTAATTCAATGTGTCTAGTAATAGTTGTCATTTAATATGTGTAAAATCCCATTACAAAAAATTTTATTAAAAATGGCTTTATGTGGTAAAGTTAGTTCTAGGCCTAATGGATAGCTCACACAGTTAACAATATTAATTTTAAACAAATAACCCAGTACAACTAATGCTTTCCCTGAATCATAGAAAAGTTAACTCTACAGAGACAGTATCTGATTTTGTAGCATCTTCATTTTAGTAAAAGAGAATTAGTACTTCACAGGTCAAGTATTATGACACTATGCAGCAAACTCCTTTTATTTCTAATACCCTTACCTAGTACACTTCAATTACCTATCAAACTAATGTAAACTTCCCAGTCAAAAATTTTAAGGCCATTTTAAGATACTAAAACTTTACAATGCACTAAGACTTTTGGGATACCTTGTATGTTTAAACTAAACAAAACAAAACAAAACAAAAAACAAAACACTGGAAATGTTTTCCTAAAAAAATAGTCTAAACCTTGAAACTGTATAACTAAAGGCACAAAATTACAGATTTAAATGGTCTTAAGTGGCTATATGTAGACATTATAGGTCATCAAAAGTCTAAAGATGATCATTATCACATGCACAGAGTGAGATATACATTCAAAGGGAAAAATGAAGATACCTACAGAATTTTCCCTGTTCCCTTCCCCTCCTTTCTGTCAATACCAGAAAAGAAAATTTTCCTGTTTAGGAAATGGGACCTAATAATGAAAAAAAAAGGAACAAAGCTTACTTGCTTCCCTGTCCTGAATGGAAGGTACCAAAGACCCAGGATAAACAAGGGGCAGCCTGGTATAGCCATTAGAGTTATAAAACCTGAATTCAATTCCAACATTGCCACTTACAAGCTGTGGCTTTAGGTAAATCCCTAAGTCTCAGATCACTGATCTATTGTGCTTTCTACTTCAAAGAGAGGTTGGGAGGTTCAAATGAGATAATAGATGAAAAGCACTTATAAACTTTTAAGACTTAACTACAGGCTATTTTATTTAAATTGCACCAGGAAGCTCTCACAAACTCTCTTCTCACAAATTTTCCCATATAATCAACTAACTAAAGATTTATCTGGTTTTATAAACTTTCTAAAAAATACAAACATATTCAAGGAAGATGATGCTTATTCATTCCCACCATGCATAAAACTTAGCTAAAATATCTGGGAATGAGTATTTTTGTTACACACACATGTACGAGCATGCACACACACACATGCACACACACCTCCCTTTCCTAAATGTATACAGAGATGCAACTCTGACAAATGGGGCACATTATATAAAACAGGGGTTAGGCTTGTATGGGACCTAGAACACCAAGATGATAGCATGAGAGCAATTGTGTCTCATAAGACATGGAAAAAAGGGACCAGGAAGTAGAAGAAAACAAAGATAAATGAGATTTTTACAAATATTGCCTATGGCCCTGTATACCCCTGAAAATGCATCCTGATGGTATTATAAATTGTTAGTGCTTATCCACAAACATGATGTGGGGATACCGCACGAATTGAAATATTGGTAACACCATATATTATGCATATATAGTATACCTCAGTGTCTTACTATAGAATATCATTTATTAAATTAGTAATTTAGTACATAAATGTTTTCCAATATATTAGTACAAAGAAGTGGTTTCAGAGATATAAAATAAAGTACTGAACATAAATCACCTTATGATCGTAAGGCAGAGACTATGCCTTATTTGTCCTTGTATCCTCCATAGTGCCTTACAGATTAGGCACTCATATGTTTTAGTAATGAACAACTTTTTGAAAATAACTGAAAAACTTCGGGAATAAATTTCTATATAACCTAAATTTCCTCTACAAGATAATTACACGTATTGAGCAATTTATTAAAAGATATAACCTACCGCTAACATTTTCAGTTAAAATAAGGTGAAACACCTGAGCAAACGCATCAACATCTTTATGAAGCCATATGTCAGAAAGACAAGCATCCATTTCTTTTATTAGCCACGGTTCCAGGCAATTCACATCTTTTTCAGTCTAAAAATGCAGAAATTTTCAAATTAATCTAATGTCTGAAGAGATGGTTGCTAAGAATGTGATAATCTATAAATACCATTACTTCAAAAAATCTTTAGTTATCAGTGAAGTAAAGACAAACACATTATGACTAGGCAGCTAGGTGACATGGTGGATGGAGTGTTGCACCTATAAGTCAGGAAGACCTGAGTTAGAAGCTTGTCTCAAACACCAACTAGCTGTGTGATCTTTGACAAGTAATTTAACCTCTCTCAGTCCAAGTTTCTTCATCTATAAAAGATGATAATAGCTTCTACCTCATAAGGTTGCTGAGAAGATCAAATGAGATAACATATATAAAGTGCATAGAAAACTTTAAAGCACTATATATATTCTAGCAATCAGCATTATCATCATAAATATATTATAAAATAATATAAAACATAAATATAAATAATATGATGATGACGATGACAATGACATGTTCTGCACGAGCTTAACAATAGGCATTCACAATGTTACCTCTGGACATATAAAGAAGATATAATTCCAGCACTAGTAAGCTTGCAATGACATGATCAAAAATTACTTTGAAATACTTTAATACTTCAACTGATCTGAAATTTCATTGGTATGCATATTTCCTCCAGCTACAGAGAACACAACACTTCCATGTTTTAGGAAACAGTTTAACGTGTGCTCTGACCAAAAAAATTCATTGGTTGACAGCCAACCAGATGATGATTATGAATTATGAATAAATTGAGCTTAGCTAATCTTTAGACAATAGTTGGCAACGTGTCATACTTAAAAGTCTTTTCAGCTTGTAACGCTTGTCAGGTTTGTATTTTTCAGGCACAGTCTTTGTGAATACAGGGTCAACTCTACACCACAACAAGGCATCAAAATATAACAAAATGTTGTGGTTTTGAATATGTTCAAATCATGACCCATACCTCATAGAAACAAGTATCACAGCAACTACACAAAGATGTAGAATTTTAAACATTTTCCTTTCTCTAAGAGTTGATATAGACACACTTTTTAAAAAAGTAAAAATTTTAGCATCATTTAACTAATGAATTCATCCTCTAAGTTCATAATGAGCAATGATTAGAATACAACTTAATGTTTAGGAAAAAGAATGAAAATACTCAAAGTTCCAGTTGAGACAGTAAAAGTCTTACCAATTGACTAAATACAGCATCACCCCCATCATCCAATAAATCATATTCTTCAGTAACATTTGGAACAGTTCTTTGCCTCTGAGACTCAGGTTTGATGCTATTCTCTTGAGCAGAGTACCATTCAGTAAGAGTAGTTTGCTGTTTCTCTTCTAAATCATTTGAGAGAAAGATTATTTGTCAGTATACTCTTCTGTTTGATTTTCAAAATTAATTTCTTTAAAATTGTGGCACATGAATATAATTGGATATTATTGTGCTATAAGAAACTACAAACGAGTTCAGAAAAAACATTTGCAAAAGGATAGAGTGAAGTAAATAGAACCAAGAACACACTAACTACAGTAACCCAACTACAACAATGTAAACAGAAAGAACAAGAAAATGAAGTTTGACACCAGATAAAAACTGAGAAGATGCACCTTGTAGCCTTTATTGAAGATGTGAGTAAATACTATGCACACTGTGTTATACAAGGCCACCTTGGTTGGCTGACCTTTTTTTTCTTAAATCTGTCACAAGCGAAGAATTGATGGGTAGGAAGGTACATTTGGAAATAAATGTGTTATTAAAAAATGCATCAATTTTTTAAAAGGAAAACTTTAAAAATTTATCCACTTATCAAATTAAATGACATAAATGCAGTGGTATTAAAAGCTATGCCTTAAGATATTAATACCTCCCCCTTAAAGTTCTTGTCATTAACTGGATTTAAAATGTTAAAATGTACTCATAAAAGGAAAATTAGAAATGTTGGAGGGGATATGGAAAAATCGGAAAACTGGTGCAATTGTGGTGGAGTTGTGAACTGGTCCAACAATTGTGGAGAAAAATTTGGAACTATGCCCAAAGAAGAGGGAGGGAGAGAATATGGAACTCAAAAACTTTTAACAATAAATGTTAAAAAAATTTTTTACATGTAACTGGGAAATATTTAACAGAAAATGTATTTTAAATGTATTTTTGTATTTTGAATTTTAAATTGAAACATTTTCCTATGAATGATGCTCTCAGATCTGAAACTATTTGCCAATCCAGCCTACTAATAAGGTGTCTATGCTAAGTACTGCAAAAACTCCAAAAGGAATTTTTCAAAAATACTACCAAATTCTTTCCTCAATAGATAAGTGATGAAAAGATATGAACATGCATTTCTTGGAACACAAATTATCAAAAAAATTTACCAGAAAAAGTATACAATTTTGAATTACTAGATATATCCACTAAATTTACAAAGGTACTTAAAGGCAATAAAATTCAAAGTTGGAAGGGCTGTGGTAAAACAAGTAGACCATTACATTAATGGCACAAAATAGTAACATCTTTGTTGGTAACATTATAGCAATATACAATTAAGAGCCACAAAACTTCATGCCCTTTAACTTGGTGTTACTACAATTAGTACTATATTCTGAAGATGGTATAAAAAGAGAAAAAAAAGAGCTATTTGTAAAAGTATATTCAGAGCAGTTTTATTCATGATAGTAAAATACTGGAGGTAACCCAAGAATTCAATCAGCAAGTATTTATTAAGCATCTGCTTCATGTCAGCCACTGTGCTAGATGCTGGAAATACAAATACAAAAGTTAAGATAGTCCCTGCCTTCACACAGTTTATATTCAATTTTTGTTGTTGTTACTGCTCAATCATGTCTGACTCTTCATGACCCCATTTAGGGTTTTCTTGATAAAGATACTAGAGTGGTTTGTCATTTCCTTCTCCAGTTCATTTGACAGATGAGGAACTGAGGCAAACAAGGTTAAGTGACTTGCCCAGGATTACATAGCTAGTAAGTATCTGAGGCCAGATTTGAACTCAGGGAGATGAGACTTCTTGGTTACCAGCCCAGTGCTTTATCCACTGAACTACCTAGCTGCCCCATATTCAACCAGAGGAATACAATCTATTCACAGACAAATAAATACCAAATGCATACAAAATAAGCACACAGATATTACGAAGTGGATTACATACTAAAAAGTGTGACTGTGTAATAGGATACTATTGCACCATAAAAAATAACAAATGGGAAAAACACAAAGAAATATGGGAGACCTTATAAAATATGATGTAGCATAAAGAAAATACATCCACAACATACATACTGACTACAATTATATAAAACAAAATACTATTAGCCACAAAAAACCATGAGCTGAGAGAAACCACAGATGAGAAGGGGAAGAGTCAAACACAATGTTTATATTATCACTTTGTTAAAGCAAATATACAAATTTTATAGCACGAATCTGGTATATAAAAGAACGTAATAAATTTTGTTGAACTGAAATTGTAAACAGTAGGTTTATGACTATATATACAATCAATCACTTTATTTCACTTATATGTACTGAATGTTTACTTTTCACTTCTGGGTACTAAATTTAGAATTTTAAATGAAAATACTTAAAACATTCCAAAAAAATTCCTATGAATGTGAATAATGAAGTTAAACAAGAGAAATGTCAAATTCTAAAAACTGAAGCTAAGGTAAAATTTTAAGCCTAATTAGAACTATATCAAAACTGAGGACAAAATGTTTATAAGATCACAGGATTTGAATGAAGAAGCTTCAGAAATAACTGAATTCAAACTATTCATTTCACCATAACCGAGACTGAGAACATAACATAATCATTTCTAGGACGGTAAATCTTAACAGGAAAGCCAGAATCTGCAGGAGATGTTACCATTCCATACACCTTCCCTATTTCCAGCAAGATCAGTTTCAAGCTAAAATAATTAGTTTCTGGCTCACATTTCTTTTCCTGCCAAGTACAGTCAACCTTCCCCATTTCTCACGTCACCCAGCAAGTCAGCAGCCATATAGGAAGGCTATTAGACACATGGGGGCAAGCTTTCGGCTTATGTTATTAGGTGACATCAATATTTATATAACAAACAAAAACAAAAGAAAAATATTTCAACTTTACCTCTCTCTGTTATGTGTAGTTAAAAAAAACAAACAGTAAACACATTTACATTCTTTGTAAGAAAAAAACTCACCTCGCTGTTTTTCCTTTTTGTATTTTAACATTTCTTTGTTTGTGTATCCTGTGCTTCTTAAAATGTCTTCCAGAAACATCTCTTTTACTTCAAATGGTCTTCCCTGTACTGAATAATCAAAGAATATTTTTTCTCATTAAACAAATTAGAAGTATTTTACCTTGTTCCAAAAGATCCTAACATTAAGACATCTTTTTAAAAACTGATTCTGTAAAAGGAAAATGATTTAAAATTGTCTTTATTCTTTATAAGACTCCTTTACTTTTTTTTAGACAAATATTCTTTACTTTAATGCCTCATCATGGCATAGAAGTAATCCTGGGTTGCTGAAGGCTATGTTAGCACAGCACAAACTCTGGAAGGTCCTGGAAAGACTCTATGGCCCTGGTAACCATCTTCTTTCTGAGGTCCAGCCTAGATAGCTTCCTTAATAGTACACTGACCACTAGGCAATGAATTCTTTGGCCACAGTAACCCACTGAAATGAAGAAAAATGTAAAATATCCTTTATCTTAGAAGAATACATTCCATTTCTGTAGTGATGGAAGCAGAGTAGCTGAAAAGGGGAAAACAGTGTTAACAATCATACAGTTTTAGACATTAAGTTACTTACAGATCTCTAAATGTGAGACCTTTGTTCACTGATAAATATGGGCAAATATTTGTGTAGAAACCATCAAAAACCATAATAAAAATATTCCAAATCACTAATGAAAGGGATACAAATTAAAATGTCTCTCAGGCTCCACAATAAAAAAAAGAAAATGAAAAATTGTTGGAAGGGTTGTAGAAGGTCAAGCATCCAAATGCATTCTTTGTGGAGCTGTGAACTGGTACACCAATTATGGAAAGCAATCTGAAATATGGCTATATTTATTTCATTGAATACAAAAATCTCCAAAGGAGTAAAGTTTAAGGTCACTCAAAGTTCAATGGAAAGATAATGTGACTTGTATGAATGACTATAGCATTTTAACAACAAAGCATACTAGAAGCAATGTAAAACAGTGACGTCAAACTCAAATACAAATGGGCCACTACACAGTATGTATTTTTATTTTATTAAATATTTCCCAATGACATCTTAATGTGGTTCAGGTCACACTTGCAAGTACTATAGGCTGCTGTAAGGTGACATAAAAGATGCCAAAGAAATGTGTGACTGAAAAGTAGGTGGAAAGATCAAAAGTAGGGAGAATAAGGAACAACAGATATGCAGCCTATATGTTCTATTCATATCCACATAATGTCAACAGATCTAGAACAAGGCCTCCAACACACTGGGTGGCCCTCTTGTGGATGGTTTCAGGGTAAACATGCATTACTAAATATTTGTTTAGATGTATGTAGATTTGAACACTTTTTTATGCCACACATCAAAGTATAACAATGAAATGACAGATTCTATAAACTATTATATTTTCATATTTATTGTACTTCACAGATAACCCTTGATTATTATCGTTATTATTCAGTCCTGATAGTAAATAAATTGCAAACAGGACTGTTTAATATTTTATAAAATGACCTAGAAAAAGACACAAGTGAAGTGCAAAAAAAAAAATTTGTAGGTAACACAAAACTGAAAGGAAATGGCTAAAAATCCAGTAGAAAACTGAAATCAGCCAAAATTTTAAAATAAACAAAGTAAATAAGAGCATAATTTAAAAAATGTTAAGAATAACCAAATCAACTGAAATGCCAAAACCAATGAAAATGGAAAAAGATATTATGCAAGATTTTTTTTCTTCTACCTGCGTTCAGACTTACCTGAAGAAATTAAGCAAAAATAACCAATTCTAAGAAAATCACAGGATCAAATAAAAGATCTTAAAGTAAAATGCCATACATTAACAAGTGTAAAAAAAAATCAATAACCAGTCAATAAATAAACATTTATTAAGTACCTACTATGTGCCAGATACAATACTAAGCCCTGGGAATAGAAAGAAAGGCAAATGACAGTACCTACTCTCAAGCAGCTCACAGTCTAATAGAGGAGATAGCATGAAAACAACTATGTACAAATAAGTTATGTAGAGGATAAATTAAGAGATAAATTAAAGGCTTGATAGGAAGAAATACTTTCTAGAAATTAGACTTATTCAAAAGTGGATTTTTCTATTTTTAAAAATTCTTATTTATCTGTTCATTCATCCATTTATGTTTGTTCATTTGTTATTTATTTCTCCGCACAATTCATTTCTGAGGCAAGGGATTATAATGACTGAACTCTCACACAACTGAAATTGTTGCTTACAGTGCTTCAGTAGGTTACATTTTTTAAAATGTAAAGTTAAGGTAACTTAAAACCAAAACTTTAGGTATTAGCCAACACAAATGTAAAATTACATGGATAGAGAAAATATTTCAGTTATGCAGAAACAGGAGGCAGAAATAAATCAATATAATACTAAAAAATGATTTACTAATACAAATTAGGCAAGAAAAAAATGTATCTATTTTTCCTTGACCCATGCCATTTAAAGGGTGAATAGAATGGTGTCTAAGAACACCTTGGTTACACATTAACAAACAAGGGCAAAACATTTAGTGCAGGATATTTTAATTTACGTGAATATACAAAGTTGAATAAAAATTGTTATGTTTGAAGATAAAATCCATCAATGTAAGAATCCATCTATCAAAAATAAGCCCTAAACCTCAGTTAGAACTTGGTTCACTATTATGCAGTATAAAGAACATTTCTGTAACTTTGCCCATCTTATCTTCAGCTGCCTTAACGTAGCAAAGCCCGAAAGGTGCCAGCCCTATTTTCAGACACATCTTCTGCTGGTATGCCTAGAGCTGCCTAGGGAAGTGGTAGGTTCTTCCATATTTATTTAATTTCAAGCAAAATCTACATACTGTATTATTGGCTAAGTTGTAAATGTGATTATTGCTTATATGTAAATAAGAGTTCTAAGGCTTCCAAGGTCCCCACAAACTCAAAGATTCTGTGAGTATTCTTAACAAAAATTTTAATAAAAAATTTTAAAATCCCATAACTCTGTAATGAATCAATCAGTGAATAGTTCTTAAGCCCACACTGTGTGAAGGTAGTGTGAAAAATATGAAATATATACATGGCCACTGGCCTTGAGAAATTGAAGGACATGGGGAAATAAAACTAATCTACATGAAACAATTAAAGACTAACTGTATACAAAACCGTGTGACACTATATAGAACTACTTACAGAAAGGAAAACTTACTGTTTACTGGACGAAAAGGCATCATAGAGAAGGCAAGACTATAAGCCCTCAAGGAAGGATCGTGGGATCTAGCGCTGGAAGGGATGTTAGAAGCCATTTGGTCCAACCCCTTCATTTTACAGATGAGGACAGAAACTGAGGCCCAGGAAGATTAGGTAACTTACCTAAGGTCACAGAGATAGTTTGATAGTATCAGGAGGTGAAATTTGAACCCAGGTCCTCTGACTCCAGAAGCAATGATCTTTCCATTAAACTATGACAAAAATACTACAACCATCAATTTTGAACAAGGCTGGTAAAAATTCTGATGTGCTAAAATTCGTAGTGACTTATCAATGTAGCCAAAGTAGCAAGGTAGCCTGAGGAAGAGCCAAGAGGATTTCTCAGGTACATCAAACTACCATAATCACTACCACCACCACCTGCGTCACCACCTCCCTTCAGATTTCTCATACAAAAACAACCCATGACCCTGAGGCCAAAAGCCCAGAGAAAAGCAGTGCTCCTAGACCACTGGTCTTACTTTTGGTCTAATCAGGAAACAATTAACAAAGCGAAACAATGTTCTCCAAAAGAATGAATACACCATCCTTGCCACTACCATCACAAACAGCTGACAAAATGCTACAAGCAAACAAATTCAGGCTAAGAGACCCAGGAAAAGAATGCTTGTTCCACCACTGGCCCTACTTCCAGGGCCCCACTAGCAATTAGTCAGGAAATTAACCCTTTGGAGATGTGACCTGGTCACTGCTTTAGAAATTCGGCCAGACCTTGCCTCCTTAGCAGAGAGTTACTGAAGGCCTGAAAAACAAAGTTCCCACTACCAAACTCTCACTTTCAAATGGTTTAACCTAAGAAAAAGTTTTTTATCAGTGGAGATAACATTAAACAAGACGCATTAACATCTGTTCTGCAGTTGTACCCTTAACACCACTGAGCCTTTTCATGATTTGCAGCTGAAATTTCCTATATGTACTGTCTTCCCCCTTTTGGAATGTGAGCTTCGTGAGAGCAGGAACTCTCTTACTTTTCTATCTGTATCCCCCAAACTTAACAGAGAGCTCTGCACAGACTAAGCACTCAATAAACTTTCCTTCCCACTGTTACCACCTTAACTCTAGCCTTGATTATGTCTTACCTGAATCATTCAAATAGTCTCTTAACTTGTGTTTTTGGCTCTAGTGCCTCCCCACCCTATATTGTACACTGCAGAAAAATTAATCTTAAGCACAGATCTGCTCATATCATTTCCATAACTCAAAAAGTAGTTCCCCATAGCTTTTGAATTAGAAGCTGAAACTGTATCTGACAAAATCTCCTACCATCTTGCCTCAATTCAATCTGCCCAGGTTCTTCTCTTATTACTTTCCTTTATACTCTATTCCCCAGAGAAACCAGACTGTTTTCCAAACTTGTCCTATGCCTCTACATCTTATATTAAGCTACTACTCTTTACTCCCAAAATGTCCTTACCATCCCTGCTCCTTCTGGATACATTCTTCAAAGCCCAACTCAAATGTCATCTCCTACATAGATATTTCCCTGATCTGATTCCACCGCATTCCCTCACAGAAGTAATCAATTCCAGCTATGAACTTCCACAGCACTTCTTATGACACATCATGTTGTGCCTTCTAACAGTTCTTATTCATCTTTGTATCTCCAACACTGCTTTCTAATGGTACAAATATGTGAAGTGTTTGCTGAATGAAGGAACGAAAGCAAAAAAAGCAGTTTTCTAAAATGTACTTCAGGGTAAAAGGATTTAAGAAAAGTAATGGGCAACATTTGGGTGTAGTTCAGAGAGTTACTGGCCTGTAACTTAAATATCCTGAAGATACATTCAATTCCTCTGCCTTCTGATTACCACTGCACTGGAACCCATTCCTAGTTCATTACTATACTAATTCTACTCAACTTTGTATATGACATAGATAGGGTTAAGGTGGAATAAGCAAAAAATAAGTAAATTTTACTTCCAAAGTATTAAAGAATATTTAATAATGATATTCATAATACTTTCCCCTGATATGTTTAATTTAAAAGTTTGACCACATTTCATATTTACTTACTATATATCACTGGGCAACTTCCAAAATATCTTATAAAGAGATTCACATCCAATGCAGCACTAGAAAGAATCAGTTTCAAAGTTGGATGCTTCTGTAACAAGTCTCTTAACTTTGTCAGTAAAAAATCACTAAATCGATCCCTTTCATGCACTTCATCCTGAATCAAGAAAAAAAGAAAAAAGGTAATTGTTAAGACATTACAGGTAACTATGATCTCTTTTGTTGTACTATTTTTTGATTATAAAAGGTAGGCTAAAAACCTTAGTAATTCAGACAAACTAGTGAAGATGGTCAATTTGAATCAGTGAAAATCTAAATCGAATATGTGAAATGAGACAGTTTATTAAGTGAATTCTCTATAGGTATTACTTAACTAACAAATCACTGTAAATCTTTTTTCCTAGAAACAAAAAAAATTAAACTTTGGTCAACCCACAGTCAAATTAATACAAAAGCTGAATTTAATGGAGTGAAAATTAATAAAGTTTTACTTTATACCCCAACTCTATTACTTAAAAGGCTATCATTGAATTGACATCACTCAAGTAGCTCAAAAACCACCTTTAAATCTGAACTCTAGATATAGAACTATGTGAGAAGATGTATACTACATAGAAAACACACAGGCTCTAAAATCAAAGGACATGGGTTTGAATTTCTGGGACACAGTAACAATTTTATTCTGTGATAAGACACAGAAAACCAGTTACCTAATTCTTAGGTAAAACCAGTGGCAGGGAGGGAACATTTACTAATTATGTACTATATGTCAGGAAAAGGGCTAAGCACTTTACAATTATTTCATCTGAGCCTCAGAACCCTTATTATCCCCATCTTACAGATGAGGAAACTGAAGAAAACAGAGGTTAAGTGACTTGCCCACAGTCACAGCCAGTATCTGAGGTTGGATTTGAACTCAGATTTTCATGACTCCAAGTCCAGCACTTTATCCACTATGTCACCAGCTGCCCTTATCAGTTGCCAGTTAGTTTAGATGATCTGAATATGGTAATAATGTGATAAAAGGTACAACGCCTAGATAAGTAAGTCAAGAGTCACTCTCTTCCATGGCCAAAGACCATGGAAAGGTGTCCAAAGTACAAATGTATCACTCAAACTGAAACAGATCCATACTAAGTTTTCAATTATCTAAATGCCAAATCTGATGATCTATTCTCATTCCTCATGGCATCTGATGCTGTTGACCACCCTTTCCTTTTGTATATTCGTGTCTTCTCCTGACAGTATTCTCTCCTAGCTCTTCACCCACCTACCCAATCACTCCTTAAACTTCTTTGCTAGTTCTTTATCCATATCAACTCTCTAAATGGGGTTGTGTGGATTCTTAAAAGCAAATCACAGGGGCAGCTAGGTATGTGTGTGTGTGGGGTTGATGGGGCAGCTTGGTGGTGTGATGGATAGAGCTCTGGCCCTGGTGTCAGGAGGACCTGAGTTTAAAATCTGGCCTCAGACACTTTGTGACCCTAGGTGAGTCTTAACCCCCTACTGACTTAAAAAAAACTAAACAACTAAAAACAAAACAACTAAACAAAGTGCATGAACCTCTGTGATGGTCACTCCTTAGCATCATTTTCTTACATAAAAAGAACAAGCAAACTACATCAATATTATAATTTTCCATAAGGTTTGTTAAGTAAGGTCTTATAATTTTATTAATCATAACAAAAACAATTGGCATTTATTCAGTGCTTTATAGTTTGCAAAGCACTTTAAAGATATCTCATTGATCCTTACAACAACCCTACATGGTAAGTTCTCTTATTATTCTCATTTTACAGATGAAGAAACTGAGGCTCAGAGATGTTAAATAGCTTTCCCAGGGTCACCCAGATAGTGTCTGTGGTAGGATTTGAATCCCTATCTTTTGTCTCCTACAAATTTAATCTTCTTTTAAATATAACAGAAGAAATAAACTCATTTTTTAAACATTAGAGATAATCATATGTAACAGTGTGCAATAAACAAATATTTCTCTCTTTGGAGGTGTGGGGTCTGGATCTATGATTTAATTAGTATGGGAATATCCTGGTGTGAAAAAAATCTTCCACCCACATAGATCAATAATTCCCTCTGTAACTTGAAATTTACAGAGGTGCCTGAAGCAGTGAGAGATTAAAAGAGTTATCTCTTGTCACACAGCTAACATGCATCCAATTCAAGACTTGAACACATGCCTTCCTGATTTCAAAGCTGGCCCTCTATCAATTATGTTATGCTGCCTCTTTTTGCTTTTAGATAGTCTGCTCTACACTGGCAAATAAAAATCACAATCACAATTACTGAATTTCAGTTATATATAGGAAAGAGCAAAATTCTTACCACAATAACATGTGTCACAGTTGATAGTGTGCTATCTCCTGCCATCAATGTGCGAAGTAATACTCCATTAGTGCAAAATGTCAGAAGAGTCTTTGGAGAAACTCTAAGAAAGTAAAGTATCTTGCAAAGTTACAAATCTATTACGATTGATTATATTTTAATTATATATCCCCTTATAGTAATAAAATTGTTATCAGCTCAATGGTTTGTATGCACAATTACCATAGCCTTTTGCTAACAAAGTGACACTTTTCTTTCAAGTAATCAAGCACTCTTCAAAGTTTTTCCTTGGAAAAAATGTCATCTTCAGTAAAGCTGTTCTCTTAAGCTACCATAAATGCCTCATCTGCAAAGTATATGGAATAGCTAAAATATCAGCTATTCAAATTAAGGTACTAAGCAATAGCTAAGGTAAAGAAGCTTTTATCTGAAACTCAAATCCTATGAAAGATTTCCTCCCAAATGGCACTGCCAATTTGGAAATGAGAGAGAAATATTTTTTACTTCCTATTTTCTAACTCTTTCATTGCCAAATCCTCAAAGGCAATTTTTATTTTAAAGACTCAAATGGATTTGGTTACCAACTTTGAATCCAAATTTACTTTGAGTAAACTAATAGTATGAAGTGTCTATCTCATTTTGACTAAACCTGGAAAATGCAGCTTTATTAAACAACAGGCTAAAAAACATCTTTTAGGAAAATTTATTATCACCTGCTTTCTAATCGTATCTGATAGCCAATTGTCTGGCCAATCTTCTCTCTTCTTTCTGCTGCAACTCTTTCAGCCACAGCAATAGCAGCTAAACGTCTGGGTTGAGTACAAAATATACGGCAGGGAATTCCATTTTTGAAGCAGTCATCTAAAAGGAACTGAGGAATCTGAAAGAAAGGTTTCAGTTCACCATTGTAATTCTTCAAATTCAATCTACAAGACAAGTAGAGCTGATTATTCATGTACTCATTATGAAAATTTACTGTAATTATTTAAATCCCAGGGCACAACTGTCTATAAATAATTCTGCAAAAAACTCCAACGACTTACAATTGTGTACTTCAACTGCTTTCTTCCCCACCTTCCCAGGGTTTCATCATATCTTAATTATTTCAACAGGACAGATTTGGGGTTCCTAATTAAAATTTTAAGTACCTTAGCATAACTAGTAAATTAACATGGAAAAAGCAAAAAAACTTGAAATATAAGAATATAAATGGGGAAATCTCACATTATCAGTTGTTAAAGGAAGATGTTAAATAAAAAAAAATTTAGATTTATCACGTATTTAACATGGTGTTTGAAATCTACACATCATATTCCACTAACAATGAATATAATTATGGGGCAGCGAGGTGACACAGTGGACAGAGCACCGGCCCTTAATTCAGAAGGACGTGAGTTCAAATGCGGCTTCAGACACATAACACTTATTGCAGTGTGACTCTGGGCTAGTCACTTAACCCCACTGCCTAGACAAAAACCAAAAAAAAAAAACCAAAAAACAAAAACGATGAATATAATTACAATAGAAATGAAAAAGATTTCAAAATGATTACCTATTCCAAACAAGAGTTGATACTGAAACAAAACATTCTAGCACAACAATGAAACCAGGACAATTCCTTGGAGTTGATTCTAATAGGATTTGACCTGTACTGCTAATTATAAAAGGGCTTTTCATAAAAAGAAATTTAAATTGCATAGTCTGATTCTCTTCAAGGAAGGGGGAGGAATAGTGATAACAACTGATAGGGACTTATCAATATATAAGAATATTCCCATTGATTTCTTTTCACTATGTGTAAAAAGTGAGCAAAAATTATAAGCGGCAATGTGTCATTCTATCTGTTGAGTAAATATAAAATGTTATGTCCACAGGAAAGTTCAGGAAATTAAGGAAATGACCATAGAAGAGTCTAGGAAAAGTACAGAAACATTTTCTTAACTTAGGTGCAATATAAAGCTAACAAAGGAAAGGTGAGGGCATATCGATGTTCTACTACCATGACACTATTACTACCTCATAGGTGAAACTGTCTTAATGAGACCCTTTTGATATTTCAGTAATTATAATACCTAGGACAAATTCTAAGTTACATCTGCCTCAAACAAAATTTCATACTCCACGTTTCTTTCTACATCATAGCTTACCAAACTCAACCTTGGATTATTCCCACCATCCTCTTACTCCTATTCATGTGCTGCTAAATAGACAGGGAGGAAGATAAAACCAAACTGACTGAGTCACTACAAATTATATAACCCTAATTGGGGCCATACTGTTGCAAGTCAATTCTTTTACTTCTTACTGAAATTGTATCCCACTCCTCACAGAGGTTGTTCTTATCTCTTCAAATTTCATAAACTTCCCTTTCTTCTCTACTCTTTCAGCTGACAACCTAATGCTCTGCTAAGAAAAAAGAAGTCATTCCTTAGCCCTCCTCAGCAACACAATGATCTAAGCCAATTCCAAAAGAGTCATGATGGAAAATGCTAACCATATCCAGAGAAAGAACTATAGAATCTGAATGCAGATCAAAGTATGCAATTTTCACTTTTTTTGTTTTTCTTTCTCTTGTTCTTTTTTCCTTGTTGCTCTGAATCTTCTTTCACAATATGACTAATGTGGAAATATGTTTAACATGATTGTATATGTATAACCTATATCAGATTGCTTGCTGTCTTGGGGAAGGACAGGGAAGGGAGGGAGAAGAATTTGCAGCTCAAAATTTTACAAAAATGAATGCTGAAAATTATCTTCACATGTAACTGGAAAAAAATAAAACACTAATACTATAAAAAAAGGTGGTTATACATTATGTGCTTCCCTCTTCTCCTCGTCATCTCAAAAGCTACTGGTATCATCCTCTACTCTTTTTTTCCTTTATTCTAGCCTCTGATAATGAGATGGTGCTCCTGCCCACCCAAGCCAACACATGCCTTTTCTCATCCTATCTTGGCTTATAAAGAGATTCTTTTGGTACTAAGAGCAGATTGCCCCTATATCATTCTCTCCGTCTTCAATCTCTCTTCTGGTTCTCCTACCTGTCTGCCCACTGTTCAATTTCTTTTGCTGTCTCTTCATCCATGTCCCACTCTCTAACTGTGGATGTATCCCATAACTTTGTCCTGGGTCCTCTTCTCTTCTCTCTTTACACTCTCTTGATGATCTCATCAGCCCCCATGGGTTTAATTACCATCTCCATGCAGATTGTCTCCATATCTATAAATCCAACCTTAACTTCTCCCCCCCACCCCCGAGCTTTAGTCTCACATTACCAACTATCTATTGTATGTTTCAAACAGAATATTCCAGAGACAATCTCAAGCTCAACATCCTCAAAGTAATTATCTTTAATCATTATCTCATTACCTCTTCCCACAAACCCACCCCTTCTTTCAAACATATTTCTGTCCAGGATATCACCATCTTTCCAATCTAGCAAGTTGACAACTTTGAAATTATTCTCAATTCCTTATTCTCCCTCATCTCATACATTCAATCATTTGCAAAACTCTTACCATTTCTAGCTCCACAACATCTCAAATCCATTTTCTTCACCCTATTCACAAAGGCCATCAGCTTAATCTAGGGTGGGCTTTCATCATCTCTTACCTGGGACTACCCTATTGACTAACTATGGTCTCCTTGTCACAAGTCTCTCCCTACTCCAAATTCATCTTCTACTCAGCTACCAACATCATTTTCCTTAAGCAAATGTCTGACTCTGCCCTTCCACTACTCAATAAACTCCAGTGACTACCTACTGTTTCTTGGATCAAATACACATTTCTCTATATGGCTTTTAAAGTCCTTCACAACTTGGCCCTTACCTACCTTTCCAACCTCATTATACCTTATCCTCCTCCCCACATTCTGTCCTAGCCAAACTGGCCTTCTTCCTATTCCTCACATACGACACTCCATCTCTCATCTGTGTCTTTACAAAGGCCATCTCTATGCCTGGAATACTCTCTCTTCTCACATTCACTTCACATAATCCCTTACTTCTTTCAAGACTCACTTCAAGCATTACCTTCTACATGAAGTCTTTCCTGATCTCCCTGGTGCTATGCCACCCCTTTTCTAAACTACCTTGTATTCATTTTGTACATAATTATACAGACATATCTCCTATTGAATTCAAACTCCTTGAGGATCCAAATTTTCGGTTTTCTGTCCCTGTCACCTGGCACACTGTAAGTATCTAATGAATGCCTGTTGATTAAGTGATATAGTATTATTATGACCGTCTAGTATACTAACTACATGATTTCATTTCCTCTGATCACTGTTGTCCTGCTATTAAAACTCTCCTATATCAAAATTCGCTGAGCTTTTTTCTCTGACATTTCCTCTTAACTATTTAGCCAAGATGTGGCATTCTCACAGCAAAATATAAGCTCCTTGAGAAGATGTTAGCTTCTCTCATTGTAATTCTAAAAACAAGGACAATGTCTTGCGTATTGTAAGCACTTAATAAATAGTTGTTAAATTTAATTTTCTTTTACAACTAAAATTTTCCTGTGGATTCCTAAAAAGTACTATCTAGTCAGATGCAAATTTTGCCTAAATCATATTTAGATCGTTGTCATGAATAAAATTAGTCTTAAAACTACAAAATGCAATCAAATATTTTTCTTCAACTGAATTAAAGACAAACAAACCTGTGTGGTCTTTCCTGATCCAGTTTCTCCAACAATTAAAACCACCTTATTATCTTTAATTATTTTGACAATTTCTTCTTGTTTTTCAAACACTGGTAAAGACTGCCTAAAAGAATCAAATTCTGATTCTCCCCTTTTCACTGGAATCTGAGGTATACCATTGTTCAGCCGTCCACTTGTCTTACTCATTTCTCGGTTTTCTTTAAAAAATGGAAAACACAATAAGGAATTAACAATCAATAGTGAATAAGGAAACAGTCTAATAAATTTTGTTTTTTTCTTCCTTTGAGAAAGACAGATATTCAGGTAGCTAACAAGAGCATAAAAAAAGAAAATGGCAGCACAAAAGATGAAACAAATAACAAAAAAAGAGAATGAACTGTGTCTGTAAATTTCTGTTATTCACCAAATGTTACCCCTAACCTTAGTATATGTACACTAAGTTTAAGACAGCCATATCCTTACTGTCCTTGATTTCAGGAATCTTTATTACATTTAATTTATATTTTTAAATGCTAAGATTTAGTCTCCTGTTACAACAGATTAGCACATCATGACAGTAGAATTTTTTTCATCTAGAGGAAAAGATCGTACAATTTTCCTATGAATGTGGAAATAACCTGACAAATTAGAAATAGCTAATAAAATAACTAAAAAACTCAAATGAAGAAAGCAGAATTAGACCAATAAACACCAAAAAATGAAAAGGAAACAGAACTCTGATCAAAGACAAAGGCCAAATGATTCGGGTTATCAAGCACACATATTTCTGGTCAACAAGTGTTAAATTATAAAAGTCAACATAACTGTTATGTCACGTCAAAAATAACATACACTAGTAAATGAAAAAACTCCATTAGGCACTTTCATTTGACTGTTTTCTAGGGACCATACTTTGTAAATATTAGATAATCTACTGTGTGAAAACAAAATAAATGAAGAAAAAATATTTTTAAAGTACATCATAAAGCTACTTCAGTTAGAAAAGAAAATACTCACCACCAAAGTCTTGACATTATAAAAAGGGTTCAACTTCATAAACTAATAAGGTTTTTTGTCAATGAAAATGACACTATTTCTATGTGTACTGAATCCCTCAATTAGAATATGAGCTGCAGAAGAGCATGGACTATCTTATTTTTCTATATGTATCCACAGTGATTTGCATATAACATGAACTTAATAAATACTATTTTCAGTCATTTATTCATTCAAATATTTAATCAATTATCAAATTTTCATTTCTACACCAAGACTGGGTTTATGTCAATCAGTGAAAACCAATTTGACTGGTATAGTTCCAGAGACTGGGCATTAAACTCCTTCAGCCTCTTGTTAGAATGGTATCATTAAAGTTAAGCTCCCTACATCACTGCCCCTCATTCATCACTCCTTCTACAATTTAGAAAATATTCTTACTTTACTGCTCCAATAGATAACAGCAATCTCTCACTGGAGTCACGTTTGCTGTCTAAAACTCTATAAATTTGAGCCGTACGAGGTACTGGGATTTCGACTGGAGAGCAAAGTCAATACACATCCAATAACCTTCTTTCTGTGTGCTGCTCCCTGTTATTAGGGACCACAGGTGATGGAACTACAGTCCCAAGACTGTTCCTTATTGGCTTCTGTTCTCTTCTGTTTATGAACAGTAGTAATAAAGTTCTGTTAACTGTTCCCCTGTATGGTTCTGTTACTCTTCATCCCAGCTCTTCTATCACAGTTTAACACTTACAGATATTCCAAAATCTGGAGAATTATATTATTGAGAAGTAGAACAGAAAACTTATTTTTAACATACATACTCCACTATGCAAGGATTTGTGACTTCACACATGTGGGTACTAATATTGATCACAACCTTACAAGAGTTGGTCTTTGACAGCTACCATAGCTGTACTACAATGTATCCTGTACCAATCCTGGAGATGAGCCATCTCCCAGGTTCTGTAATGATCTGCCAAAATTTGTGATCTATTGGCAGAACTTTCAAGACCCTAGGTATATCTTTGTACCCTGATGAGTCACTAAAATAGGACTTAAGAGGAGTTATTTATAAGAAATATAAATTTCAGTGTCAAAACCCAAATTAGAAAGAGAAAATGAATGCTTGTTGATTGAAAAAAAAATTAATTTCAAAGAAAAAAAGTATGATACTCCAGAAAGTTAACAAATTCACCAAAATATTTTTTTAACTGGATATTCTAAAACAGAGGCATCAAATTTATAAGCCCACAAGCCTAAATCAATATATCCTGTACATAATTACAGGTCTATTTTCTTAAATAGTTTTTAAATTCTTGAGACTTGGAACCTCATGTCTGTAGTCTATATCATCACATATAAAATCCAATAGCATATGACACCTGTTACCAGAAAAAAAATGAAAATGCTGTAATTATAGAGGGAAATAATTATTCTTACTTTCCTTTCTAAATCAGAAAATTTAAAATTTGATGTTTTGCTTTGGAACATAGCCAAAATAAGAAGTATGTGAGTCATTAAAAAATACTCTATATCTCTGATTTCAACCATAGTTACCTCTTAATGATTTTCAATTCAAAATTAAGGTTACTGATTAACTTTCTATCACTCCACTAAAAGAATAACTAATAGTCAAACTCTGTACTATACATTAGCACTTAAACATTTAAACAATTCACATTTAAATCCATATACTACACAACTCAATTAGTCAAATTTAGAAAGCCTGTTTCATTATAGTTTTAATTACATTAGTCTGGGGGGGTAAAATCATCACATAGAAAAATATACAAGGAAAATCATCAGAATATACATACCAGCTTCAACTGCAAACACATTTCCCCGTTCTGTTTTAGGCAGAAGTTCAGTACGCTCTTTATTTGTGACTGGGAATCTTTGAATTAGACTCCTAACAGCATGTTTTGTATTATGAGTCAAACTACAGGTCATCATTGCATATGCTGTTTCTGATCCATCCTTCTTCTTCACAGTTAGGTATCTATTTGCTCCCTTTCTGGAAAATAATGAAAAAATAAAGTCAATCATATACATAAAATTTATTCCTACTCAGAAAATATATTTCTAATGGTTTTGTTTATTTTTTTGACTGGACCTGTTAGTTCTGGGAGCACAAACAAGGAACTTTGTCAGTCAATGTGGATGATGAACAACTTTTCTGCAACTTCTAATTTTAAAAAAAGCTGTCTGTGGCAGTAAGAAGTTAAATGAGCTGCCCAAGGTCACAAAGCCAGTTATGTGGCAGAAACTCGATTTCGATTTCAAATGTATTTATCTACTAAATGCCTTCCAAAAGGCATTTCAATAAAAAGGAGTGATGTCCCAATTCATCACAAAAATATTAAACAAAAAAAAAAAAAGCCTGAAACTCAATTTACAATCACTGGAAAAGGCTTATTTACCTGTATGAATAGATTGCCTTTAGCAAGGTTTATGGTTGATAAACCACCACCAGCCCAGGAATGCTGAATGGCATGGGGGTGAGAGCAGGGAGGGGAGGAAACGGTCAGTAGAAACAATTTGAACAGGATCCAGAAATAATAAAAGTTTCAGGTCCTCTGACCAGACTGTGTTCCCTCTGAATATCTCTTCACTATATTATTAACTATGATACTATCATTCTCATGGAACCAGGCTAAATGAACCTAATGCAATGGATGTCTTTAATTATAAGGTGGCACAATGGATAAAATGCTGTACCTGGAGTCAGGAAGACTCATTTTCCTGAGTTCAAATCTGAATTCAAACATTTACTAGCTGTGTGACCCTGGGCAAGTCACTTAATCCTGATTTGCCTCAGTTTTCTCATCTGTAAAATGACCTAGGGAAGGAAATGGTAAACTACTCCAGTATTTTTGCCAAGAAAACCCCAAATGGGGTCAAGAAGAGTCAGACACGACTAAAAAATGACTGAACAACTCCCACTATTAGAGTTGTAATTGTAATAATCGATTTTATTCCCAGTTAATGTACCTTCCTCCAATCTTTGGCTACAGGGGCAAAATTATGCCCATGTAATTGTGTAAAGGGTGGTTTTACTTTAAAAAAATTACTGCTGGAGGGGCAGCTAGGTGGCACAGTGGATAGAGCACCGGCCCTGAATTCAGGAGGACCTGAGTTCAAATCCGGCCTCAGACACATAACACTCACTAGCCGTGTGACTGAGCAAGTCACTTAACCCTAATTGTCTCACAGGGAAAAAAAAAACTGCTGTAAAAAAAAAAAGTCATCAAAAAAAGTCTTTAAAAATATATAAATCCCAGTGTTAGTCCTATTATCATCACAGATTTATCTTTGGTTTAACAAAAGATTAAGCAGCTACCTTAAGGTCTATTTCTCCCATTTGTAAGGAGGTGTTATGGTTTTAAAGTTCTTTGATTGTTAATTGTCTCAAATAGAGTTTATAAAATGAGAGAACACATTTTCTATCATCCCAAAGTTAACTGACTCTTCATAGCACAAAAATGACACTGGATTCTTCTAGAAGGCAGCAGAGCATACAATCAGACAAGTCCAATTAAAGTCATTCATTTATTATTTTAAAATAAATTTTACTGATACCTTTTGTTATTTATATAACCTAAATTTTTCCTTCTATTCTCGTTGTCACTGTAATATCCTGGAAGTGATAAGAGTTCACAAGAGTGAGCATCAATAGCTACAATCACAGATCTGAGAATACTGAGGCACTAGTAGAATGGTTTATCCAATATTACAAGAGAAAACAATAGAAGGCTAGCTCTATCTGTAATTTCAAGTACCTTTTACAATTGATCCATTACATTTCTATTGTCTTTTCATTTCCTCATTTTATAGATTAAGAAACTGAAGCTTTGACTTGCTACCTTAGAATAACTGTTACTGTGAGGAAAATCACTATGCTAATAAGATGGGGAATTTCTCTGTTTATACATTTACTGTATTTATTTCTTTTTTTATTGATTATTTATCAAGTAGAATCTGGGCATTTACACTAATTTTTTGTATTGGACAGTAACTTTTACTAGGTATATCCATCACACATCTCACTACTCTACTGCATTTTTTTTCCTTTCTTTTCTTTATATACCAGGTGTCTCCTATTTTACCCAGGCAGCCACTCACAGGTCCAATCTCGCTGCTGGTATGTAAAGAAGCTTTGACCTGCCTCGTTTCCAACCTAGGCCAGTTCTCCTTTCCTTGGGCAGACAGGTATCCCTTCAACATCTACCCTTCCAGCCCTTGGGCTCGTCACATAGATACAAGACTTAGTGAGAACCAATCAACTTCAGCCCTCCTATAGCTCAGAACTCCCAAATTCAAGTGATAAACCAGCTTCAGCCTCCCTATTAGCAGGAACTCCAGGTGTGCATCATCATGTTCAGATATTCCTTTTTGATGAAACACTGAATGTGTTACACTTTGTTATACAAGTTTCTTTTCCATGTATAAATACAGTCAACTTATCTCTGATTGTACTCTTCACTTCCACAAAGTGAGAAATTTGTCTCCTTCATGGTGAAGATAAAATTAATATTGCCCAGAGATTAATTTAAAATATCTCAATGGAACCCTAAGATAAATTCACGCCAAAGATCAATGCTAGGTACTAAAGGGCAGAGCTGGAATGGCTAGCAGACAAAGTCATAAAAATTATTTCAAAGAAGTTATCATTCAAAAATCAGACAAGACTATCCAAGTGAGGGTAGGGGACCAAAAAGCATGAACGGACAAGTGAACTCTAGAAATGAAGGTAAAAGGAAATTTTAGTACTCCATGAAAACTCAAATACAACCAAAGGAAGAAATTACCTAAAGAATCAGCGGGGCCATATCATATTGCAAAAGCTGTTTTTAGGTATGAAAAGAAATGGTACCAGGTGAACAGAGAAAAAGGGTGCTTTGATCAAGCTGCAACATCAGAAAAGGAAAATGAATGGTGCTTTAAGAAATGATATCTTTTTATATTTTCCCTCATACTAGATGTTACCTTATCCCTTTCCTTGCTCCGCATATTCCCCTACCCATTTTCTTAACCACCTCCAACCAAATGCCATTGTAACCTAAGGACCATGGGAACAGAGACAGTCTTTTCTATTTGTATCCCAAGTTCCTGGTATACTCTTTTGTACAAAATAAATTCTTAATAAATTCATTTTCATTTATCCATTATGAATATAATTCTTCTCTTTGCCTTTTTCCCTCTGGCCCCTGTTGATATCTCTTCTGCACTGTCCTGATCTTTTACCCCCAAATAGATCCCTCTTTTTTACCTGAAACTAAATACAAATTTACAAGTTATCAGCAGTTCATATTCCAAAGACTTTTTGGTAAATCAATTATTTGGAATCTGGTACTTTTTTTTTTTCCTTTTGTTGTTGTTCAGTCATTCACTCGTATTTGACTTTGTGACTCCAAGGACCATAGAATGCCAGGACCTTCTATCCTTCACTATCTCTCCAAGTCTGTCCAAGTTCATGTCCGTTTCTTCCAAGACATTATCCATCTCATCCTCTGCCATTCCCTTTTCCTTTTGCCTTCAATCTTTCCCAATATCAGAGCCTTTTCTAATAAGTCCAGTCTTTTTATAATGTGACCAAAGTATTTAAGCTTCAGCTTCAGTATTTGACTTTCCAATGAATAGTCTGAATTAATTTATTTCAGTATTGACTGATTTGGTCTCCTTGCTGTCCAGGGAACTCTCAAAAGTCTTCTCCAGTACCACAATTTGAAAGTGTTGATTCTGCAGAGCTCAGCTTTCCTTATAGTCCAACTCTCACAGCCACACAATCCTACTGCAAAAACCACAGTTTTGACTATATGGACCTTCATTGGCAAAATGATGTTTCTGCTTTCTAGTATGCTGTTCAGATTTGCCATAGCTTTTCTTCCAAAGAGCAAGCATCTTTTAATTTCATGGCTGCATTTGCTGTCTGCAGTGATCTTTGAGCCCAAGAATATAAAATCTGACACTGTTTCCATTTCTTCTCCTTTTATTTGCCAGGAAGTGATGAGACCAGTGTAATATAGCTAAAATGTTGTATATTTAAAATTAGAAAATAACCACAATAGCAGAAAACAATACTGTTTTAAATATATGGTTATCCTTATCCTTGTGGGCTGACCTGCGAACTATCCAATATTAGTAACTGTTTCTATGGGAAAATGTGTTCCAAATTCCAAATAAAACTCTTAGGACCCAAAAAGCACATCTTCCCCTTTCTGAAGTATTAGCAGCAAGAAGGGTCTCTACCAACCTCCCAGTGAAGTGACCATTGAAAGCAAGAGCCCCTATCAAGGTAAGGATAAGAAGGGAGTTCCTTAGACTCAAAGGCAACTATGAATATTTAAAGAGTATTGGGTATTTGTGGATCACGCGTAAAGGACTGCCTGCATAATTCTTTTTGCTGATGTTATTTTTTTTGGCATTTTGCTTTTTGTCTCCTTTAATACAGGAGTTATTATAGAGTCTGTCAACCTGTTTTTTGTTTTGATGAGTATTTATTTATTTTGGTAACTATTTCAAATAAAGTCTCCTTTGTAATCTTGTCTATTTTAATTTATGCATTTAAAAACATTATCCTGAGGAGTCCATGGGTTTCACCAGATTGCCAGTGTGCCATGATGCAAAAAAGGTAAAAAACAAACAAACCCCAAAATACTCTTGATTTAAAAGGTAAGTTAACTAATAAATCAAATTAATTTCTTTCTCCTAAAACAAAACATGCTCAACACATACTGCTTTTTCATTGAGGATATCTCTCAAATGGACCCTACTACCTTTCTTTCCCCCCAACCAATCGATTTTATAAAACTATTTATTTTGAGATAAGATCTCCCTATTTTGCCCTTGTTAGAAGTGCAACAAGTGGATACAGCACCGGCCCTGAAGTCAGGAGTACCTGAGTTCAAATCCGGCCTCAGACCAAACACTTGACACTAGCTGTGTGATCCTGGGCAAGTCACTTAACCCCAACTTCCTAAGCAAAAAAAAAAAAGAAGAGCAACAGCTAATCATGGACCCAATTCCAAAACTGATGGGCTCAGAACCTTTAACTTGTTCCTTTTTTCCAACTTGGGCCATTGAGTCCCTCTGTAAGCAGCCCAGAGTGGAGACTCCAGGGGCCTCACTATTTTGGTGCCAGATTTAGTGCAGACACCCAATAAATAGGCTTTAGCCTTACTGCAGTTCAGAATTTCTGAACTCAAGCAATCTACCAGCCTCAGCCTCCTCAGCACCAGGGACTACAGGAGTACGCCATCAAGCTCAGTCTTACAATTATTTCTAAAACCTAAACCTTCAGGAAGAGAAGAAAATAGGAAGAGGACATGAACTTTAATTCCTCATTGCAAAAAACACATCAACAATAAAACAAATGTCTATTAACAAACAAAAACAGGGTATAAGTGGAACAAGCAGCAGATTCTAGCTCTGCCATTCATTAGTATGATGCTGGATAAATAATTTCACTTCTCAAGCTTTATTTCTCCCATCTGCAAAATAAGGGGATTCAACTAGGTAATTTCTAAAATCACTTCCCCGTTTTAACATTTCTATTCTGATATCAAGTCAAGACCATCTTTCTCTTTCTCAGTAAGACAGATTTAACTACTTTCTTCTTTTTTTCCCCCCAAGGGAAGAAGAAATTGTGAAGGGGAGATAAGAAGCAGGAGGAAAATATAGGTATCGGTATTCAGAAAAGTCAGACGCAGTAAACCAAGTGTTTCTCTTTCCTCTTTCTCTCTCCTTCTCCCTCCTCTTCCATAGATATTAGCTATAAAAAGTAGCCAGAAATTTCTTTTTGATAAAAAAAGGTACATTAACTTACCCTTTGCTTTTAGAGACCAAACCAAGAGACTGACTCAATCGATGAATAAAAGCTCTTTCAGTACTGGTTAAAGAAGAAGGAAATTCCATTTCTGGAGAAAGAAAAATATATTTTTAAAGTAGTCATATATGAAGAGGAAAAAAATTATTTTCTTTTATTTAGCCTTGGCTAAAACAATATCCTTGAAACCTCATTTATCTTTACTATATTTACATAATGGTAAGTATACAGAATTAAATCACTTCAACAAGTATTCACTATTAAGTCCGGCTTTATATCATTACTTAAAACACGCACCCAAATGTTAAGCCTGGCAATGCAAAAAGCAATTATATATATATCACCAATATGGTCCTAAAGAATTTAAGCATGGGGACAGCTAGGTGGCGCAGTGGATGGAGCACCAGCCCTGAAGTCAGGAGGACCTGAGTTCAAATGCGGCCTCAGATCAAACACTTGATACTAGCTGTGTGACCCTGGGCAAGTCACTTAACCCCAACTGACTTAAAAAAAAAAAAAGAATTTAAGCTTCATTTGAGCTACTTGTTACTCTCTAAACATGCACATTGGTTTCCTATTTCTGTTTTTAAACACAGTGTTTACAAACCTAGAATGCCCTTCCTCTCTAGTTCGAGCTCTTCAGTTCTTATATATTTTTCAAGGCTAAATCAATGTCATTTCTTTCAAGAAGTCAGCCTTAGTTGGAAGTAATCACTCACTTTTCTCACCTAATGTAACACTTTATACTTTCATTCTCTATATTGCATTGTAGCTATTTGTACTTTCACTTTTTACTTTTCATTTTAATTATTTATTACTATAAGTTCTGTGAAGTCTAGGAAAATTTTTCTTCCTTGAAATAACATGGGCTCGCATTTCAAAAAATGGAGAAATGTCAACCCAAACATTTAGATACTCTGACAATTCAAAACATTTAGTGAATACCTACTATGTGCAAGTCACTGGACGAGGCCATATTAGAGATAATTCAAGGAAAGAAAAAAAGCTGTTGTATGTATGTCCTAGATATAGTTTTGCTTAAGATTGCTGCATAGTTTGCATTTAGTAAATGCTTACTATGTTTCATCACTATGTGAGTGCTGGGGACTCTGACATTCTAATGGACAACACCTAAAAGAGCAAGTGAAAGGAAGTGGGGAGAAGGAAGTGTGTGAGGTGGGGGAAGCAAGAGTGTATAATTGGGAGAATCAAGGCTGGCTGGTCTGAGTCTTTTCCCAAGTTGAAGGCTCTGTGAAATACTCATTAATAAGGTGAGAGAGTGAGGAATCAAGGAAGGTATGGTGCAAAGGGCCAGGACTTACTTCTGCCACATACTGGTGGTGTGACATTGGGCAAGTCATCTCAGTTCACTCCACTACTTCCTACAACTATAAGTTGCAAATAAGTCTGCACTGAAAGTGGAAGATACTTACCAAGAGCTCCCTATATTGACCGTACCACAGATCTGTTCAAAAGAAAACCTCTATGGAAGTCACTGTTACTGTTTTGGATTGGAATCTTCTACAGGAGGGGAGGGTCTTAATCTTTTTTTTTTTTTTTTGGTCTCATGGAAGTCTGGTGAAGTCTATGGACCCTTTCTCAAAATAACGTTTTGAAATGCATAAAATAAAATACATAAAATTATGAAGGAAAACAATGAAAATACAGTTATCAAAAAAATTTTTTTAGACTCACGGGCCCTAGGTTAAGAACCCCTCTTCCAGAGGGTAAGGACCAGTCTAATTCACTTTGAGCAGCACCAAACTTAAATCTGTAACCACCAAAACTAAGATTCATACAATACTTTAAACTCTGGAAAGCACTTTACATACATTATCTCATTTGAGCCTCCCCATCTCATAGGGTAGTTTTTCTAGTTTTATTATCCACATTTTACAGATGAGGAAACTAAAACTCAAGTGATTTGCCCAGGGTCCCACAGGTTAATAAACATCAGACCTAAGCCTTGAGCCTCGCTAGGTCTCCCTGACTCCCTGGCCAGAGTCCGGAACCTGCTCGACATTGCCATGAATACATTGTCATGAATGCCATGACTAAGTGAAGTTCACAATCTGAACTCCACCTGCAGGCTAGCGGTAATGGTTGTCCAACAGGATTGAGTCCCATCTCGTTTCATCATGGTAGAGGCAAAGAACAATTTAAATAAATTAAACTTTTGGAGGGAAAAAAAGTGTGTAGAAGTATTAGTACCCGACGAATGTACTAAATTTTGTGCAAGTCCCTGTCGCTGCTACCCGCTTCGTGAGCTGCCTCATTAGTGTGCCCCACTGGGGCTTCAAGCTACGTGAAAAATAGGGAACCTTTCTCTTGGGCTAACTTCTGTCCCCAAGCACCTAGCATCTTTGTTTTTCCCCACCAGGTCCTGAGATTTCTGATGAGGAAAGACCAGGGAGGGATGCCCCATGCACAGCAGCAGGAGCGAGGTCCCGGAGGCTTTCCGCAGCGGACTCAGCGGTGTCAGAGACATCAGGTTTTTCCGGACTCCCGGTGGCAGCTCTCCGTCCACCGCACCAACATCACCCTCGGCACTAACCGCACAACCTTGCAGCCCAGGCCGGCGAAGCCCGCAGGTCACCGGCTTCCGCCGCCGCCTCCGCCCGCGCCGGGGTGGGAGGGTCCCGCTGCCCGCAGCGAAGGGAAACGAAACCGAGGCCGGCGGCGAGGCGCGGAGGACGGCCTCACTCACCCCTCTGGTCCCCGTAACGAAACCGCTCCAGGGCGATGTTGACGGCGATCTTCACCTCCTCGTCAATGCGGATGTCCTTCAGCCCCTTAGCCCGGCCGCCGCCGCCGGAGCCGGAGCCGCACTGGGAGGAGACGACGACGACGCCGCCGCCGCCGCCGCCGCCGCCCGGGGCCGGGGACCGCGGGGAGACGCTGCTCGGCCTGGACATGGAAGCGGCCGTCGACGGCACTGAGGGGACGCTGACTGACTGAGGGGGCGCGAGGCGGGGGGAGGCCGGGCCCTGACCGAGCCTCGGAGGCGGCCTACAGGGCGCCGAGAGCGGGAGGTGCCGGAGACGGGTGGGAAGCCTGAGGCCGGGGAGCGACACGGGCCCCGCACAAGCAGAGCCCGGGGCTGCCCAGCCACAGTTAGCCGGGGCCCCGCCGCTCCTTCCACTTCTGCTAGGCTGAGAGCACGATGGCGCCGGCGTCGTGACGTGCTCTGACGTCAGCACGTCGCGGCGTGGGGGGGCTGAGGGATGCTTGAGAGCTTGGGAGAGCTCCTAGGGTTTAGGGACTGGGCAGACTTTATGGATGGTCCACCTCAACCAAAGTCGAGGCTTAAGGAAACAAGTCCAAAGAACCCAAAATTATCATAGTCAGGTTGTCTCCCATTTTCCTGACCTTGATTCCATTTGTGGCTGCACCTGCGCCTGCACCCCTAGTCTCTTTTGTCTCCTAACCCCTCAAGCGAAAGCTGGGTTTCCTCTAGGTGGTCTCATCTGATATTTCTGTGAGAATCTTGAAGGATTCTCTTATATCTTGTGACTATGTCGTTCGCCTACTCAAACTCCATGGGTTCTCTAATGCCTTTAGAATCAGAGCTCTTTTGTTTGGGTTTTAAAGAACTTAACTTTATTACAAAGCAGTAATCTGGTACTGGCTAAGAAATGCAGTGGTGGATCAGTGGAATAGATTAGGTACACATCACATCATAGTCAATTACTACAGTAATCTGGTAGATGATAAACGCAAAAATCCAAGCTTTTGGAACAAAGACTCATTATTTGACAAAAACTGCTGGGAAAACTAGAAAAACAGTATGGCAGAAACTAGGTATAGACCAACATTTCACACCATAAAGGGTGATACCATAAGCAAATTAAGAGAGTGTGGAATAATTTGTCAGATCTATGGATAAAGGAAGAATTTATGAACAAAGAAAATAGAGAGCATTGCAAAATGTAAAAGGAATAATTTTGATTATATAAAATTTAAAAGTTTTTGCATAAACAAAACCAATGCAACCAAAATTAAAAGGAAAGCAGAAACGGGGGGGGGGACTTTTGCAACAAGTATCTTTGATAAAGGCCTCATTTCTCAAATATATAGAGAACTTTGTCAAATCTTAAGAATGAGTCATTCTCAGGGAAAGCAGAGACTTCTTGAGCTCTCCCCCAAAACCCCTCCAAATACCTATAAAAAATGGCTCTAAACAAATTCTAAAGCAGCAGAACCCACAAAAAGACAGAGTGAAACAAATTTCCAGCCAAAGACAGCCTGGTTGGTTGATCAGAAAGGTGTATCATGCTGGGTGGGGAGAGGAGCAAAGTTCGGCGTGGGGTGCAGGCCTTAGAGGACCTAGAGCAGGCCTCAGAGGACTGAACAGCGGGCAGCTATGGCGGTTTCCAGACTTCTCAACCCATGAACGCCAAAGACAACTTAGAAGGTCAGTGGGAAAAGTCTGTGATTGCGGTGAGAGGAAGTGCTAGGTCTCAGCCACCCCCGGGGCCACAGCTGTTTCCTGAGCTTCCGGCCCACAGACCGATGGGGAATCAAGTGGCTGATTAGAGGGGGATTGCAGGGTTCTCTTTGCCAGTGCTGAGGCAGGAATCTCTTGCTTTACTGGTGCTTGGATCTGGGTCACAGTTCTGAGGGGCAATCCTGGGGTGAGGAGGAGTGCTGGTGTGGTGAAGCTTGTTGTGGCGGTGGAGAGAAAACACCTCACCCCTTATCATTACACCTTGGAAGAATTGAAAATTTTCAAGTCCCTAGAAGTATCTCTGAAAACAGCTGTGCAAACCCCCAAAGCATGGAACAGTATATTCTCCACATTGGAAGCAGACTTTTACCTTAACAAAGAGTTTAAAACTCAAGTAATTGGCCAGGATCATGAGTAAGCAGTGCAAAAAGAGTCAGACTATATTATCTTACTTTGGTGACGAAGAAGATCAAAATGTACGACCAGAAGAAGACAATGAAGCCAAAGCTCTTACATCCAAAGCCTCCAAGAAGAATATGAATCAGTCCCAGGCCTTGGAAGAGCTCAAAAGGGATTTTGAGAAGCAAGTAAGAGAAGTAGAGGAAAAACTGGGAAGAGAAATGACAGTGATGCCAGAAAATCATGAAAAGCAAGTCAATAGCTTGCTAAAGGAGACCCAAAAAAATACTGAAGAAAATAACACCTTAAAAAATAGCCTAACCCAAATGGCAAAAGAGGTCCAAAAAGCCAATGAGAAGAATACCCTAAAGAGCAAAACTGGCCAAATGGAAAAGGAAGTCCAAAAGATTACTGAAGAAAATACTTCCTTAAAAATTAGAATGGAGCAATTGGAAGCTAGTGACTTTATGAGAAATCAAGACACTGTAAAACAAATCCAAAAGAATGAAAAATTAGAAAACAATGTGAAATATCTCATTGGAAAAACAACTGACCTGGAAAATAGGTCCAGGAGAGAGAATTTAAAAATTATTGGACTATCTGAAAGCCAAGATCAAAAAAAGGGCCTAGACGTCATCTTTCAAGAAATTATCAAGGAAAACTGCCCTGATATTCTAGAACCAGAAGGCAAGATAGAAATTGAAAGAATTCACCAGTCTCCTCCTAAAAGAGATCCCCAAAGGAAAACTCCTAGGAATATTGTAGCCAAATTCCAGAGTTCCGAGGTCAAGGAGAAAATATTACAAGCAACCAGAAAGAGACAATTCAAGTATTGTGGAGACACAATCAGGATAACATAAGATTTAGCTGCTTCTACATTAAGGGACTGCAAGGCATGGAATATAATATTCCAGAGGGCAAAGGAGATAGGATCACAACCAAGAATCACCTACCCAGCAAAACTGAGTATAATCCTGCAGGGGAAAAAATGGATTTTCAGTGAAATAGAGGACTATCAAGCATTCTTGATGAAAAGACCAGAGCTGAATAGAAAATTTGATTTTCAAATACAAGACTCAAGTGGAACATGAAGAGGTAAGCAGGAAAGAGAAAATCATAAGAGACTTACTATGGTTGAACTGTTTACATTCCTGCATGGAAAAATGATATTTGTAACTCATGAGACTTTTGTCAGTATCAGGGTAGTTGGAGGGGAAAAAATTATATGTATGTTTATATAGATATAGATAAATAGATAGATAGATAGATAGATAGATAGATAGATAGATAGATAGATA